CTACCCTATCTATTCAAAATATAATAGTCTAGCTGTTATCGTTCCCGTAACAAATTTAACTGCATTCTTAAGGCTTAAACTCAAAAAATCTAATTAAACTTTAAAAAACATGCGCATTTCATTAATACCTCAATAAAACTAGTGAAAGATGAATATGCTAATAACTTAATTGATCTTAATCGACTCAACACTTGTATTCTTGAATTTTTTTCTTGAACGTGTAATACTAATCTCGTTAAACTTGGCCAATAACTTTGAGTAATTACCCAAACACTAAGGCTCTGTTTGGCAGACCTAGCTGAAAAGCTATAAGCTAGGAGCTGAAAGCTAAAAAGCTATAAGCTCGGAGCTAAAAACTGAAGAGCTGTTAAGCTAGCTGTTATGATTGAAAGCGTTTGGTAAAATTAGCTTTTTGATAAGCTGATAAATGTAAAAAGACTAAAAATGACATCTTCATAAAATTTAAATTAGTTTGTTTACATATTAAAATTTAACATTTTATCTTTAAAAAATTAACATTTTGAAATAAAACTATTAGCATAATCATGATCTAACATCTCTTAATGAAATAGCAATATTGTTGCAAATCTCATAATAATAATAATAATAATAATAATAATAATAATAATAATAATAATAATAATAATAATAATAATAATAATAATTATGGTGAAAGTTGCAAATAAAGGAGAAGAGAAAAAGGTTTTAATTGGTAAGGGTAAATTATGTCATTTTTTTAAAAATAATAAGGATAAAGATGAAAAAAAAAAAAGTTAAGAAGCTAGGAGCTTATTTTGGGAACATTATCAAACAAAGCTTATAGTTTATTATTAATTTAAAATAAGTTATAAGCTTTGCCAAACAGGGCCTAAGTAGTATTCAATTATGATATATGCACAAAAAGCTCCTAATTAATAATTATTTCTCAATCTCATTTATGCTTAACAAATTTATTTCGTTTCTCTCCAAATCAAAAATATTATGGACCAAATACATACTATACCATCTGATAATAACTCATGACATGTATGTGCCTTTATTCTCATATTAATTGGTTACCTATAAATTGATACACAATATAAACACTTGATGAAAATAATATTACTCATACTAAAAGATAAATTCAATTGTTGTTAACACTGATCGCTCCACTAAGGCTCAAATCTGTAACCTCCCTTTGAGAGAGTCACTTCGTGTCATTAACATAAAATCTAATTTTTTTTGTTCATCAATTCATAATTTCACTTCCATCGAGAATCAAAATTCTTCAATATTATATATATCTTAGTAGGACCAATTTTAAGATTTATCATATATATGTGTGTGTGGGGTCAATTGACCCCACTATTTGACACATAGCTTTGCCATTGTTACTGTGGTTTACCTCTTTTGTATGGTTTGTGAGTTATTATATAGGAACAAGCTAGGTTTACTCAGTGCACATGTCGTGTGGCATTCTAACCCTTCTTAATGCAGTTTACATCTCATGTGTCCATGATTTACAGATTATTACACAAAAAAACATTACAGGAATTACATATACACGCCTCAAATAGTGGTGGCAGGTTTCTGACTTCACCCAACATTATTTTTGCTCTCTAGGAGGGAAAAAAAAAACACCCAACATTCCACATGTTGGAAGATGATTGGATGGGCGGCACACATGATATATCAAGAATTGAAGATGTGAAATAAAAGGGTGGGAATTGAAAAAGAAGAAAAAAGGGAAGAGTGGAAACTAATGCAAAATAATTGAATGAAAATGAAAGAAAGAGGGAGTCTTTATCATATCATCATCACAATAGGAATAAAGGAACATATATCCATTCTATCTTTTTGGTAAGGCAGCAGCAGCTGCAAGCAGCCTACTACCTTTAACTAACCCACTCCTTGTCCTTTGGAGCTTATTGTGACCAATACTCCATCACATCATTTCATATCATGCTTCCTTCTTCTCCTCTTATTATCTTCTTTTACTATCATTCCTCCATTTCTATGCACGCCTTAGCTTTGCCGCCCATTTCCTCTCATTCTACTTTGCAATCTCACTTCATTCACTATTCAATTCAACCCGGCACGGTGTTGGGAAGATGTCGAGATATTATGGTTGAAAATTTGTCAAATTTTAACCCCTCAAAAAGTTAATCGAGATTTAGAGAATTTTTCAACTTTTTTGACTATTATTAATAAAAACCCAAATTTCTGAATGGAAGTAGTGATTGGATATCCTATACTTTTCAGTAGGGCAGAGAAAGATAGAGATAGACTATATTGCGTGTACAAAACTCGTTCTAATAAATACTGAGAGTTATTAAAATTTGGAGATACCTTTTGATTAAGTTGAAAATTAACAAATTCGTGTCATCTCATCTATACAAATGAACTTTTGACTCGACTTGATAGTCAACACAAATTGTCTTGAGCCAATCAAGATCAACCATGTATATAAAATCTCACCTAGTCTCTTCTTCACAATTGAGCCTTGGAGGACCAATCATATTACTCCGTACTAAATTAAACAATTTTTTGTATATTTTAAGTGAGTATAATTGTTAAAAAAAACTTGTTGCCTTCGTATTTAAATTATTAAATCAATATTGCTTTCATGATCAAAGTCTTAGCTTATCAATACGTCAAAAACTAGTAACAACTGTATAATTTTATTTATTTTTAATATTTAATTTGTATAGCAATCAACGCTATATTTTGATGGCATGATGATGCTCTAAACTTTCGCTCTACAATTGTAGTTAGGCAACCAATATAATTGAATCAAGATCATATTTAAACAGAAAAATAGAAATTCCTTGGTGATCATCACCCTTTGTATCGCTACTTTCCTACATGACCAAGTACCTAGGGTTTCAATTTAATTCGGATATAACGTGCAACCTTAATTACAGCTGACTTTTGGTTTTTAATTTTAATTTTTGTTTTTTTTGGGGGGTGGTGGTGTTAGAATAGATGTCTCACTACTCTAAGATATTAGGCAAATGTTGGCTTGGAATAAATTTTGATTTTGGATATGATGATTGTTTTTTTTTTTTTAGTATTATTGATTTTATTATAATATAATATGTGATATGTTCTATACTTTCTCAATTTATTACAGTTCAAAGAGTTAAGACCCTACCACTAGGGTTCAATCTTGTGACCTTCGGACCTTCCTTCAAGGGGAGCCACAGAGGTGATGATTGTTTTTTAGATATTAGGCAGTGGTTTTGATGCATCCACAGTTCTCACCTGGGGAGCCATCCGCATGTGAACTAGACCATATATATATATATATATATATATACACTGTTGCAAAAATCGCGCCTAGGCGCTAGGCGCCCGACTAGGCACTCTAGGCGCATGCCTAGGCGTTCTAGGCGGCCGCCTAGGCGCCCTAGGCGGTCCCAGGCGCCTAGCGATTTTTTCAACATTATATATATATATATATATGTGTGTGTGTGTGTGTGTGTGTGTGTGTGTGTGTATTCCCCTTATATTTTAACCCTTGGTTTTTTCTTGTAGTCTAACAATTTAGTTCATTTAATTTGATTGAGAAGCCGGGATGAGATAAGACACAAAGAGTGAATGGAAGCAGGCGTGGTGGTCGTTTCTTTTAGGGTAAAAGTGCAATATTATATTGAGTTTCAAAATGGGATTAGAAAAGTACATCTATTTATATATGTATATCAAAGAAGAAAAGCTGTTAGAAATCACTATCATGCTTCAATGAGGTTGGGTACGGTGTGCCTTAAGCCTTGGGACCTCCCCACACTACAACACTCATATATACTCCATCCATAGATGGAGAGTTCAATTCAGGTTAACCAATTTAAACTAAGTTAATATTTAGTCACACCGTTCCAAGTTCAGCATTCAATAGGAGTGACAGGTCTATTGAACTTAACTTCTAGTTTGAGCTAGACAATTATGAATAACTTAAGTTGGTTTATCACATTATGATTTTTGTAAGCTAAGCTAGGATCACAATGTGAGATTTACCTTAATGCATACACTCGAGTGTGGTGAGAACTAAGTGTGACGGTAAGTACTAAGTAGTAACCATGGTCGTAGGTACTTAGAAAGCATGGGAAAAATATGTGGTGGTCGGAGGGCTGGTTGGGTTCGTTAAAGCAGGTACGGTTGAGCTTCACGTGGTGACCTTGAGTTAGCCATGGTTAATTATATTAGATGAGCATGAGCTGGAAAATGGTATAATTTGCGTTGTTGGTGATAGAGATTGTTTGTCTTTTTTGCTTCTTTCGTTTTCAGGCGTGTAGTAGCTTTGAAGGGTACACACATGCAATTCAATTCAATTTTACAAAAAAACTTTAATTTTTTATTTAAAGAAAAAGAAAGTAGAAGATAGAATTTACCAATGCAGATTGATTGATTGATTGAAGCATACAGAGAATCACGGAAATATTGAATTTTAATTCGAATATTTTTACATAGAATTTTACCAATACAGACTGACTTATTGATTGAAGTATTAAGAGAATCACGAAAAGATTGAACTCTAACCTCGGAAATTTTCAGTTTTCACCTTATCATTACTTATAAAATGTGAAATCTTTCTCCATAAAAGTTTCGAGTTCGACGGCCCGACACAATAAGATTGTCAATGGATAAATCGTGCTGATTTAACAAATTATTAATTATGTGAGTATCAATGACGACAGGTGTCCACAAAATTATAAGTCACCCTTATAAAAAGGTATAGTAAAATTCTGACATTGAACTATTAAGGCTCCATACGTACTAGTCCTTGCTCACAACGTGTCATCCAAAAATAAAGTCTAATTAAGTTACTTGTGTGGGACCAAACATTTTAACCCTGCCTTCAAATTTGTATAAATGAAGTATATAGCAACATAAATATGTCTTAATTTATAAGAATTTAAGAGTATGTATTTGTACAATAACTTTTTTTTTAATTGGTTAACCAGTTAAATTGTACGACAAACTTAATCAAGAGAATTATGTATGGTGGTGTAAGTGAACATCCCAATCACTTACTATACCCCATGAAAGGCCACTGGGCATGCCATCATCCTCAGTTCAGTCATTCTCTTAGATCCAAGCTAAGAATTCATCCCTACTGTTCCATTCATAATTCTCTCTCTCTCTCTCTCATCCCCAGAACCTTTCTCAACCCTAGAAACAAAAACCTACCCAAACACTCCATATATATTCCCCAGCTCAACCTGTGTTTCTTGAGGTAGCTACTACACATACGTGGAAGAAAAAGAAAAAGAAAAAAGAAAAGAAAGGTCGATCTTGGATCTAGGTTTGTTCTTCAGTTTTCGAGGTTTTGAGACAAAATTATAATCTGGGTCTTGTTTTTATTTCGAGGAGTCTGGGATTTGGGAAAGGGAGTTTTCATTGGGGTACGAGATAAGAAGAAGATATCAGTACGCTGCAGACAGGGTTTTTTGGGATCAGTATCAGAAATCGCAGTTGCAGAATCATCAGAAGTTGCAGAAGGTAAAGAGAATTGTGTCATGAAATATTACCAAAGATTTCTCCAGACCCAAGAAAAAAGTGTGTTTTAGGAGCCCGGAGGTGAAGAAAAGGAAGGTTTTTTTTTTTTTTTTTTTTTTTTTGAAGATTATCGTGAATCTGGATAGCCAGTGGAGCCAAGAAACCCCCCAGATTTTCCCTCCGCAAAATCCCAGCTTCAAGAACATTAATCTGCAGAATCTTCAAGCTCTTTATCGTCAGCACCATGGAAACGCCGCCGTGAATAGCCTCGAGAAAACTGAAGATGCGAAGGGGAGCGGTGGGAAGAAAGCTGCGGGGATGAAGAGAGGCGGCGGCGGCGGTGGGGAGATAGTGCAAGTTGAAGGCGGCCATATTATCCGGTCTACCGGCCGGAAAGACCGGCACAGTAAAGTGTTCACCGCGAAAGGGCCACGTGACCGGCGAGTGCGGCTCTCGGCCCACACCGCCATTCAGTTCTACGACGTCCAGGACCGGCTCGGCTACGACCGGCCGAGCAAGGCGGTTGATTGGCTCATCAAGAAAGCCAAAAACGCCATAGATAAGCTCGCGGAGTTGCCGCCATGGAACCCCAATGATGACGCCAGCGTTATCCCGGCGAGCCATGAAGGTGGTGACGTGGCGGCAGGGTCTAGTACTGGGATTCCGTTGGAACAGAATTCCGATTCTTCCGCTCGGTATGAGTTTCCGTTTCAGAAGCATCTAGAAGCCGCGGGGAACGCGGCGGGAAGTTCGCCGTTTATTCTGCAGGAAGACGAAACGACGCAGTCCATAGCAGAAACCATGAAATCTTTCTTCCCGATGAACTCCGGGAGCTCTCTGATGAATTTTCAGAGCTACGGTCACGATATAATGCCGCCGAGAGCCTCAATCCAAACCGAAGATCTCGGCTTATCTCTTCACACCTTGCAAGACCATAGACGCCCGCCCTCCACCTCCCAGCTTTTCTCCGGCGCCTCAAATCCGGCGACCTTCGATGCTAATTTTTCGAGAATGGTTGGTTGGAACGGCGGCGGCGCCGGCGGTAATGGCGGAGAGAGCAGAGTTGGGTTCTTCTCGAACCATCCACACCACTCAATCCCGCCGCCGCAGGCGGCGGCGGTGTTCTCGCAAGGCGGAGCATTTTCTCAGAGGGAACCCCTTCAGTCCAACTACTCACACCTATTCCCTGCTTGGGAGGAGAGGGCCGCCATTTCCAATCCCCATTTCGCCGCAGAATTCCACGTTCCGGCGAGAATTCACGGCGAAGATGAACACGGCGGCATCAAACCATCCTCCCCTCATTCCAACTCTCACTACTGAATCCATTACACCATTATCATCTATCCTTCAGGTAAGAAAAACAGCTTAATCTCAACTCTTTGTTCATTTGTAATGATTTTGTTCAACATATTCATATGAATTTTTTCAGGACATTTATTGATTTTGGCCGGTGAAATTAAAGTTGTCTCCAAAGCCTTGATGATATTGACAACTCGATATGGTCTCCTGAGAAAGAAAAGACTACTGAATGGTTAGAGCTCAAGAATTCTATGTTGTAACATTAATTCTTGTTTGTTGCCATGTGATGATTTTATTTTTGTTTTTTGTTTGACTGCACCTTAGCTTCATAATGTTTCTTGACCTTATTTCATATTGTTCTTGTGTTTCAATTATTTGCCAAACTGCATTCAACTTTCTATTTCTATTTAGCATTCGCCAGAGCGAATTGAAAAACGAATTTTCTGTTTCAACTAAAGTTTTAAACTGAGCAAATTTAACTTTCCGCACTAAAGTTTTAAACTGAGCAAATTTAACTTTCCGTGAGCTATATTGTCTATTAAGTAACTTTAATTTATTTGAGACGATCATTTAACATGAACTTTAGCCAAAACACATCTTCAAATGACAACTCAGTTTTGCCATAAATCAAATAACATCACTATTGATTGCCAAAAGTATTCTTAGGATTTTTATTTTGGTTTCATTTTTTTTTTTTTTTGTGGATTTCTATGTTAGTTATTATGGTGGGTGAAAATAACTCATGCATGTGCTTCTGACTGTCGAGCCTAGCTGAATGTTAATTGTGGCTAAAATGTGGAGACTAGTACACTGAGGTAATGAATTATTTTCATTTTTAGGGTCTACTATCAAGGCATTTTTGGAGTTGGTCATAAGTATAGTTTTTGACATATTTGATACATAATTTTTTTTTCACATTTAATGTGTGACATTTTTTTTCAAGATCATATATGTTTGAACACTGTTACTTTTGGATAAAAAACATGTGATTTCAAATTGGAATATGTGATGCATTCTGACTATTTTTTAGTGACGATTTGATTAGATTGGCCAAATGGGAGAAAAAAATTAGAAGTATACACTAATTGTGAAAAAAAAAAAAAACTTATAATGACATGAATATGAAAGGAAAGAAAAATCTAATAGTTAATGTCATTCATCCTCAAGTTTCCATTGTTAGAGGACAACTAAATCAAAATTTGTTTGTGTGGGCACAAAAATTAAAATTTTGAATTGTCCATCCGTGATTGTTTATGCTAGTTTAAAAAAAAAAAAAAAAAGAAAAAAATCTAAAATTTTGATCATGTATGTGATGGAGAAGATGTGCTATATGTGCTTTGAGAATCATGATTGCAATCCCCTCCATTAATGACCAAAATATAGGGGGTTTGTCTTAATGATCTATAAGGCAGCAACACTGTACATATTGCCTGATTTGGAATGCTTTGGCATTGATGACTATAAATGGAAAGCAAACCATGTAATTTTTACTTTCGATTTTCGACTCTTATATGTTCACTTCTAGTTCTAAATTTAAAATTTTTAGATTACAAGAGAAACTCACAGTCACTACTTGAGGGTGCAAAAGGGAAATAAACTCCGCCTTGTGACCCTAGCCAGTAAAGAACAACAAAGAGGTAATCAGTCTAAGTTGTGTTGTTCAGCTTATAGCTGACTGGCTCAAACTTCTAAGTTGTCCAGCCCATAGTTGACCGACTCAAACTAAGAAATACTCAATAGGCCACTCCCATTAAGAATCGGACTTAAAATCTCGTGATTATATCAAATCAACTACCTGACCAACTTAGGTGGTTGGAGTGAAGTTGAGAACAAGTTATGAAGAACCAACCTCCATAATATAATATTCAACATTATCCTAAAACTGGGAATTACATACATATGCCCAAAGGGGCTAAAAGGCATATCACAGAGGGGAAAACTAAAGAGTTTGAAACAGGCTTTCCCATAACTGGACTTGACAAAAACTAGCAGATGATACATACACTACAATATTCTGGCACATAAAATGGATTCCATGGTGATCTGATCTTGAGAAAAATGCTACTTTTGCTCTCATCTTCGACATTACATACAAGGGGAGAAGAACACAGTCCACCAGCTTCATCTTCCTCGCAAAATGAATACAGATGCAAACAAGAAACATATCGTGATCAAATCCCACGTCCATCTGCCCGCTTTTATAGAACTGCTGGTATTTACATCCATTGCTGATGGCCCTAATCCCATATCTGTTGGTGTGCTAATCTTCCCATTACTTAGACTGCATAGAAGATGCACAGAAACTACTCAGATCCAAATCTAGAACAAATGATGCAATTCACTCGCAAAACTTAAATGAATCTGCATATAAACAGGCTACAAGTTCAGCTCCAAATCTAGAATTGAAGGATGCAATTCACTTGCAGAACTGAAATGGATCTGTATATAAACAGGCTGCAAGTTCTAGAGTCGGGCTATGCATATCTCGCATAGTCATCAAATATTCATATAGCAAGGAAAAATGCCAATGTTTTCAAGAACTCAACATCCATCTGCTTCAAACTACAATCCATTCAAGCTCTAAAGATTTGGAAGGATACATATTGGAAAACAACCTGTGCTTTTAATGTACTTCAATACATTCATTTCCATTAAAATAGGCAATCAAAAGCAGATATAATTTTCATTTTACATTTCAAACACCAGAACATTACAATAACATTAAGGAACAAAAGTAGCAACTTTAGGGACTACCCCAGCCAAGTTGGTCAAAATGTTAATTTGATAGCCATAATGTTATAAGTTTGGCCTATTGGTCTTGGTTTGAGCCGATCAGTTATGGGCAACCTACCCTCAGGTAGTACTACGGTTTCCTTCGACACTCAAAAGTAACAACTTTTATTCCAAACATTGAAAACTATCATTAATTTCTCAAGTAATCCTAATTATATATGGGGGATTCATCAAAGAAAAGTACTTAACTTATGATTTTAATGAACAAATATCTTCAAGCTAAGAATTTGTGGCAATTACCTTGATGGGAGCTTGCACTTGTTAAAGCCTGCAAAACCCAAAATTGGAACAAATATCGATTAAAATGAATAAATGGGTAATTAAAAGGCTAATCTTTATCGGCATTACTCACTAGGGTTCAGAGAAGTGAGAGCGGCGGTGTTCTGGAAATTACAGGCGTCCTCAGTCATGCCGTGTTTGATGAAGTAATCGTTGAAGGCAAACGACGCCGTCCTCTGGATGTCGGAGGCGTCGTAGCACGGGCCGCCGGGCTGGATGGGCCCACAGTCGGCACCGCCGGGTCCGCAGGCCCAATCGAGCGATGACTGGAGTGCAGCATCCTCCGCGTTGTTCTTGGCCACGCACCATAGCTCCACCCTCGATCCTCCGTTGCCTGCGGCGGAGCTGCCGCCTTGAGCGGCGCAGAGGGTAGATAGTAAGGAGAATAGAAGAGGGAAGGAGAAGATTGCCGGCATGTTTGGCGGAGATGAGAGAGTGTGTCTTTCTGAAGTTTGAGGGTTCAGGGGAGAGCCGTTAAGACGGACGGGGTTTATGTATTCGATATTACTCTCTGCAAATATGACCGTTAACTGTGTTGCTATTTGAAAATGTACATTGGCATGATTTTTTTGAGAATAACAATTTTGGGTTGGATTTTTAACAAATGGGAGGAATGGTTTTTATTATTGTAAATATAATTTTGGCTCAAGTGTCAAATCACACCATGAACCAATTGTGATATGTCATGCCGCACCTTGAACTTACATAAGTGATTATTCGATTCACAAACTAAAAAATTTTGTCTACCTAGTTTTTTTAGCAGGTTGCCTCCAAGTAACAAGTTATAACTTGATGATGTGGAGGTTTTTTTTTTTTTTTTTTTTTTTTCCTTTTTTGCTGATGTGGAGGTATTTAGTTGGCAGCCCTTTCACCATTTATATTAAATAATATAAAGTAACCTCTGTTATACTCTTCCATGGCCGATCTTTGTCACAAGGCTATAATCTCTCGAAGTCGGTGATCAAGAGACTCCAGGCGAGCGATGATCTTTCGCGACTCCCCAGAGCAATCTCCCACTCCCAGCGACGTTATCGCCACCTTCAGTCTGGCGATCGGCAACCATCAGCGAAGTCGCAAGTCGCGAACCCATCTTCATCGCGGGAGGTTTTTCCGGCGTTTGAGTCCATGCATGGACGATCGTAGGCCATAGATGGGGTTAGGGATGCGTCTAGATCAACCTCCACTGCTTGGATTGTTGATCGGAGTGGTCCAAAATTTGTGGACTCTGTTGCGCAGTTGGCGGTGCCCCGACGATCGGAGGATGTCGACAATGCTCAAGACAACGACGAACCCCTCTCGCGACCTCAGAATTGTGATCGCCGTCCTCAGTTTTTCATCGACTATAAGAACCTCAGCCAATTGGTGTGCTGATTTCAATCTCTTAAAAACCCAGAATTTGGAAATCTACATTTGGCTGAGGTTTTTGGTTCTACGTTGTAAGGCTACTACCAATCAGCCATAAGTTGTCTGGGATTCTGAATCAGTGGCATTATAGGGTGTTAGTTTTTATATTTGCATCTGCTGTTAGTTTTATATTGGGATTGATGTTTGAATGATTCTGGTGTCAATTATTTCAGTTTTTATGCAAAGGATTAAGAGTGGAAGATTTTGACAGTATCTGCGATTTCAGTGAAGTCGAGGAGATGCAGAAGATAGTGTGATCACACTCTATATTATGTTGATTCTTATACCATAGCTCTGCATTTCAACTATACATTTCAACAAAAAATAATGCAAACATTTTGGAAGCCAATATTTCGCACATCCCTAGGAACAATTTAACATATGTATACTAAATTAATAAGCAGTAGAAAGTATAGAGAATATACCTTAAGTTGAAACATCCATCATTCTGAGAAATTTTTGGGAAGATATTGAATCGTAAGGTTTGGTTTAGTCGGTGGACATGCAGACATGATTGGATTGAGAATGGGAATTGGGTTGGTGTTTCTTTTCATGCCAAGTCAAGTTACTAGAGCAAGAATGGTAGTGGCTTTTTTCATGGTGATCATTGTTTTCATTACCCAGTCTCTGTACGTAGAAAAGCTAAAGATTCCAGCGAGGAGTACCCCAAACTCAGGGAGGATTTCTCGGTGATCACCATAGATGACCCGCCCGGAAAATTGATTGCATTTCTCGGTGCTGTCAGAAGCCGACGATGAGGAATGCCGGCGACGGTGTACATTGCCCAACGACGCCGTGGCGCTGTCGATCTCTTCCGGGACTATAAGAGCTTATCACCAGCGTGGTCTAGCAACTCGATGGCTTGCAGAGATAAAAGCTTGGACGACAGTCTTGAAAAACTAAGCTTCATGATCTGAGTAAGCTTATTTGACCAAGCAAAGACTAACTTAAAAAAAAAAAAAAAAAAAATCCACATCAGCACATTACCTGTGCCATGTCATCAAGGCAACAGGAAACTTGTAAAAAAGGCTAGGCGGGCAATTTTTTTTGGTTTGTGAATCGAATAATCACTTATGTAAGTTCAGGGTGCGGCATTCCAATTGGTTCATGGTGCTATTTGGCACTTCACCCTATAATTTTTTATTTAACTTACCCACAAAAAAGTTTGACAACAAGGTCAACCGATTTCTCCGTAATATCGGCGAGAAGCCACCATCGTTGGATTTTTTTATTTTTTTTTTGAGTAAATACCTAAAATGGTCCCTCGACTATAGCTAAATTCACAAATTGGTCCTCAACTTTCAATTTCAACCAATTAAGTCCCTAACTTTGTAATTTTAACATAATTTGATCCTCTGTCTATTTGACCGTTTGTTGACTGTGATTTTTGAAGATATTTATGTAATTTCAATTTCATGGTCCATCGTCGGTTTTTTAAGGTTCTGGTTGCATTTCCAGACCGCACTGTTACATTTTAATCCACTGCCGAAAGCAATTTACCAAATCCGATCGTCTTTCTTCATCCTCCCTTTGGATTCAATGTAGTTGAGTTCGTATCAAAGTGAAGAAGACGACGTGTTTCTGAACCAGTGTAACGTCATCCTGGAGGCCTCCACGTGCTCCGACGAGAGCTGGAGGTTCTTCTGGAGATCTTCGATCACGGTCAACAAAAGTCAAATAGATGGAGGACCAAATCGTGTCAAAATTACAAAGTTAAGGACTTAATTTGTTGAAATTGAAAGTCGAGGACCAATTTATGAATTTAGCTATAGTCGAGGGACCATTTTGGGTATTTACTTTTTTTTATTTTTTTTATTTTTTATTTTATTTCTAAATTGGATTTTAGTAAGATGTCACGTAAGTAAAGTTGCCCCGTTACCTTTTGATATTATGTGAAATAGGTTAATTGCACAATTGTTAACAAGTTTACGTGTCTAATTGTCTAATTACACTTTGATATATAGTTGAGTTCTAATATTTATCCATGATTTTTATACTAGACAATCATAAGTTCGATAGAGATAGTAAGAGTTTATGCTATGATGATATTTACATGTTGGTAAGTTAGAAGTGTCACATGAATATGTTATTATCATATCTAATTGTTGCGTACCAAATTAAGCTTATATGCATATTTCCTATACCTCATAAAATAACTCTTTTAGTCATGTAATTATAGACATACTATAAACTCAACAATTCAATTATTACCATATTCACATTTTATTTTTATTTTTTAAATATATATTCAAAGCGACACTTTTTAACCAGAAGTCCATATAAATTATGAAATTGTTAAGGACAAACGAGCAATTTCACATGTTTTTCCCTTTCATTATATTCCGTAATATATTACTTCTTATACGCTAAATTTTTGAAAATTATTAAAATTTATTTCTCTAAATGCAAAAATTGTAAACTTTAAAATAACTGTATATTCGAATTGAAGATGAATTCAATTTTAAAAGCAAAAACGACAATTAAGAGATTATCTAAACTTGAAGATATATTGAATCGTTAACTTTAATTATATTTAATATAAACGTTTTCTTTAAATATGTTGAATTTTGTGCGTAGTCTAATTAAAATCACTACTTTGTGGAAAAGAAGAAAAACATATATAGAGTAATAATTCAAGGATTGACTTTATAATATATACACATAATTAAAGGACCAAAATCATGGTTTTTCTTTATGAATTAAACACTTCTTCAATTATTATTTTTTAAATTTATTTTAAGACGAGATAAATTCGTAGTTAGTATCTAATGGTGTGTATATTGATAAAACTTTATTTCTATGTGAGATTATGTACAACAAATTAAAATTTTAGGCTCAAAAAAGTATTGAGAGGTATGTTTCCAAATTTTCTTCTCCCATAAAACTTTCCAAATTTGATAACATTGATTTACTTTAGTTGTGAAGGGCATAAAGTTTCAATTGAAAAGCGAGGGAGGGAGAGTCTACAGTGTGATTATGTGAATCGACACAATTGTTCAATCTCTCGCGGTTTCGATCCGATTACGATAAATGTGCAGTTCCCAGCATTCCGAAGAAGACGACCCAATCGATCCGCCGCATTCACATCGCCAACCCATGGAGGAAGAACCCCAAAACCCTCAAATCCCAGAAAGCCCCCGCAATCAAGAACCGCAGCAAGTGATTCCGGGGGAGGAAAAACCTAATCTTCATCACCAAGAAGATCCAAAATCCAGTTTTGAGGAAAACCCGGATCATCAATCCTCAGGTAAGGCCCTCGCTTTACCCATTCCCGTGGATGTTCCACACAGCGGTGGAGACATGTCTGATGCCCCTTTGATCTCTCAGCCTAACCCCCATAAGCGCCTTCCTAAGCGTAAGAAGGGTAAATGTAATGCCAGGAAAAAACGAGCTATAGACAGGAGATTAAATTCCCTTATGGGCAAATTGCACCCCGTTCCCTTTATCCCCTCCAAGATTCTTGATTTTTATAGTCACCAGAAGCTGCTCAAGGGGCTTGGATTATGGGAGTTTGTTAATATAGGGTTTAATGCGGATGTTCGGGTTGATTTGATCGCGCAGTTGGTTGCAACCTATGATCCAAAATTGAGGCGAAGCTGTGTGAATGGGGAGAAGATTGCTGTGAGTAGGGCTGATTTAGCTCGGGCCCTCAGTCTGCCAGTGAAGAAGGAGAAGGGTGATGTTGTTAACTTGGATGTTGAAGAATTTTCTGAGGAGAGTATTGGGTTTCTTGAGGATTTTGTGTCAATTTGGGTGCTTTTGCATGATGATATTTGGATGATGCCAAATGAGGTGTTGCATTGGATCAGGGTGATCAAGGATGGGAGTCCAGAGAAGGTGGATTGGGCCGGGTTAGTATGGTTCATGGTGGAGAAGGAGTTGACACAGGGGGAGCAGTTGGAAGACTGTTATTATGCAGTGCATTTGCAGTATTTGATTAGATCACAGCGCGAGGAGGTGTTCTTTAGTAAGGAGTTGGAAAAGGCGGAGTTAGGTATAGATGTGGAGGAAGTGGAGTTGGAGAAGGCGGAGTTTGGTATAGATGTCAAGGAAGTCGAGATGGAGAAGGCAGAGTTGAGTATAGAGTTGGAAAAGGCGGAGTTGGGTATAGATGTCAAGGACGTGGAGTTGGAGAAGGCGGAGATGGGTGTAGAGGACAAGGAGGAGGAGTTGGGGAAGGCGGAGATGGGTGTAGAGGACAAGGAGGAGGAGGAGTTGGGGAAGGCGGTGTTGGGTATAGAGGACAAGGAAGAGGAGTTGGGGAAGGCGGAGTTGGGTGTAGAGGACATGGAGGAAGAGATGGGTGTAGGGTTCAAGGAAGAGGAGTTGGAAAAGGCGGATTTCTTGGGTGTAGGGATCAAGGGGGAGGAGAATGGTTATGTGAAAGTTGGAGGTGTGACCGAGGGTCGAGATGAAGAGAGCGTATTGATAGAATCAAATATTAAGTTGAGTTTGGGGCATGACATGGAGAAGACGGAAGAGGTAAACGATGCAATGGCGATGGATGTTGGAGAACAACTAGAGGAGGACGAACAGGAGCAATGGCAGCTGTTGGATGGAAAGAACGATATGGGCGAACCCTTTTTGCGTTTGTGTACCAGCGAAGCCGTGACATTGGATGATCTTGAAGAGATGAAAGACGAGAGTGAAAACTTGGTAGACGAGGAAGAGGAAGAAGTAGAAGGCGATTATGGAGAAGAGCAAGGATTCCCGGGAATTTTCCTTCAAACAGGGGAAGTCTCCCAGATTCCATTTTCCAACAATGGGCATCTTCATGATCAGCCATCCATTGAACTCGTTTCTTCTGGTACCGATCTGAATGGCAATAAAAGAGTGGTTGACCACAACCACGATGATGATGACATCCCTTATCAACCTCACGGGGGCAATAAAAGGTCGAGGATCGAAGGTCCATCGGATAACATCCCTTCCGATTTCGGGACTATCATGGAACAAATGCAACAAAGGATGACAAAAGCTCGGATGATGTACGAAGCAAAGGAGCAGACCGAGGCACAATTAAACATACATAAGCAAATATTGCTCGATGAGTGCCACAAGCGCAATGCCGCGATTGAACATTTGGAAAGGACCACACCGGAAGAAATACAGAAAAGAGACAACATGATCTATCGCCTTGAACGTGAACTTTTCATGATGGGGAACATCGTGGAGGGTTACAAGAAAGCACTGAAGGACACCCACAAGGCATTTGCTGAATATAGGCAACGCTTTCAGCTTCCCGAAGAACCAATTTACAAGGACGCTGGGCCTGGTGGTCTCGTGCTTAGCACTGCAGAAATCGAGAAGCTTCGCCTTAAGCAAGAGGAGGAATACAGGTCAAATTGCTTGATGCTGCAAATGAAAGCGGAAGAAGCCCTAGAAGGCTATACTGCTGTATTCGAAATGTATATGGACAAGGTCACTGTGATAGGTATCAGGCTAATGAGTATTTCGAGTGATGTGGAGGAACTCAAAGAAATGTATGGTAAGCGCCGCAAAGACCTTGAAACACACCAGAAAGCAGTGAAGCTCGAGGTGATTGATGAGAATGTTGCCAAAACTTCTAACCTGGCAAGTAGTTGATTGATGAGAATCCTGTTTGTGCTGTGCTAACTCTTATCAGCTTATGAAATTTATATCCATTTAGATATTAAATTCTCTATTTGTCTTCTGCTGTTCATTTGGTTGTGTGTTGTGTTAACTCTTATCAACTCTCACCCTCAAAAGGCGAAGCCCCTCGCCCTCGGGCCATACACTTTAATCCAACAAGATAGTGGAAGGGTACTCGGTGACCTCTTGGGTGGGAGGACAGTGTCTGGTTCTCAGTGCTCCCAATCCAAAAAAAAAAAAAAATCATTTTAGAGTATTCACACTGAATTTTTTTTAAAAAAATATTTACAATTCTTTTTTCTTTTCTTTCTTGAAGGAGCTTACATGAAATACAAAGAATCCCACCAAAAAATAAAACATTAAAAAAAAAGGGACCATGAAACAATGAAAAGTCTTACAGAGACATGGCAAATGAGAAAATGCAGTATCACTTCATCACTTGGCTTCCAGATTTTTTTTTCTTTAAAAAAAAAAAAAAAAAAAAAAACCCAATGAAAAGACTGACAAAAAGAAGGGAAAAATATATTTAAAAAAAAAAAAAAAAAACACACCACTACCCAATCCCTAAGCAGAAAAGCATCCCTGTGATGGAGTGATGGTCCCTGTGTTTTTAGGGTTCACTGCAGTCTCTGCAGAGATGCAAGTGCCCTTATCCTGTCTCCCCCATGCAAAGAAATTTTTGTAGGCTCCACTCCCACATCACATAAATGCACTAGTCTTCTTTCTCTCCTGTGAATTTGTTCCTGCATGATTAAACCATCAACTTATATCATGTTGGTTCTCAGCATCTCATCTGTATGTGGCCAAAAACTCAACCAGGACCACATGCATTTCTTTTCTCACTTCCTATTTTTCTCCAAGATTCTTTTCTTAATCCTGGTTTTGGACTTTGATCCGGTTTAGAAAAACAACTTCACGAGACAGCTAGTTTTATGAAAATGAAACTGCAGGACCATTATTCACAATCAAATAATTCACTCCTTTCATGTTCTTGACAATTATGAGGTCTGGTTATAGAATGATGTTCTGTCCATTGACTTGAGAACATGGGCTCAAGATGGAATGTGGGGGGTATTTCTACCCCAAAATGATAAGTGTACTCCCAAAAAATAAAATTTTCACCCACTAAACATTCAAATTTTACTGGAAGAAGAAAAGAGAAGGAATAAAATGTGTAACCCATCCCTTCGTTTTGACTTGGTAACCACAAGATTATAAGTTCAACTCCTAGTAGGAGCAACCTATTAGTCTTCTTGGTTTAAGCTGGTCTGATCAGCAACCTATGCTGGTTTATCTCATAGTGGTCTTTTGCCAACTAAAGTTAGGGTCACAAGGCGATTTATCCGGTGTACACACTTGAGTAATGATTGTGAGTTTCTCTCATCATTCAAAAGTGAGAGCCCACCCCATTTTCTATCCCAATCAAATATGACTGGTTTATCTCCTTGTAGTCCTTTATCGACTAAGGTCACAAGACCGAATTTACCGATGCATACCCTCAAATAGTGGCTACAGTTTCTCGTGACTCAAAATTAAAGTGAGAGCCCACTCCATTTTCTAAACCAATCAAAGTATATCACGCGAGTTACTTCTACCTTCCTAATTGTTTCAATTATGAGTTCCCTCTCCATTTTGGTTGTGAATCAAGTTTTGGAAAGAATTTTCACATGGAGGGGACAACAGATCAGAGAGACTGGGTTTTTGGGGGTGGTGGGGGTGAGGGTGTTGGTACGTTTATCAAAATGAGATAACATTCACGTGACAACCAACGTCAATTGTTTTCATATGTTGATGACAAATTTGAGGTAGCGTACGTGATCTTTATTCAGAAAAATAAGTCTGTCCTTGATTATTAATAATTATATGATGTGTAGGTGTACCTTCTTCTTCTTCTTCATCATCAATTGGCAAGCTGTTCTTCCTTGTCAGAACCACCGCCATTAGTTTCAGCAGGCGGCGGTGGTTGTGGTGGCGTACCATCCTCCATCTTCTTTAGATTCTGTTGGTAATAAATTTGCCTCAGCCTCTCTATCTCCCTTTTCAATGCGTCTTGGTGAGCTGCATTTCCTCCATTATATTAATTCACTCACTAATCAAGCTCTACCATACTAATTACAAATAAATGAGAAATAAAAGTACCATATTCAATAGTTACATTAAATATTGAATCAAGTTACTAGCTTGATTTTTATTTTTTATTTTAAACTACATAGGGAGAGAACACCCTAACTAACACATGTGAGGAACATCCCGCACATGATTTTATTTTAATGCACCTATTGCTCCATTATAATGGTAATGCTGTTGATTAATTGAAAATATAGGTTAATGTATAATAAAATAAATTTTCTATAGTGTCGATAATATTAACCTATCAGGTAATACAACCATATATAGTATATTTGAAACACGCCATATGTTTAAACATACTTTCTCAACTTAATTAACCACAAAGAGTCAATAATGTCTCCACTGAGGCTCAATCTCATGACCTCTCACATGAGAGAGGTCACTACATGCCATCTGAGCACCATGTGCTTGGCATCAGCACCATTAAAAAAGTACTAAATTAATTTTTTTTAAAACTATCTTACTATATATAGGTGAGCCATGAATCTATGACCATAGTTTATAATTAATGCAGAGGTGGGTATAAGGTGTTGATATGATGAGAGTTGAAATAAAAAGAATAGATATATAAGAGGGAGCATGTGATCATGTGGGTATATATATAATTATATATATTAATATTAGTGGGGGCTGGGGAACAGTAGAGAATATGCAGAAACAAACTAACCATCCTTGAAGACTTTATCTTGTGCAAGAGCTGCGATTCTTTGCTTCAGCACACTGTTATCCACATTCAGAACCAAACGTTGGTGGTCCAGAAATGCAACCCTCGGCGACAGCACTGATACCTCAGCCTTTTACATTAACAACGTAACACTTTTAGTACCATAACAAGTCAAACCGTGCCCACAAGTTACTCGTGAACTACTCTGTCGAAACTTAATTGTTTTCAATTCAATTCAATTTGAACCGTCTTGTTAAGTAACTGAACTAATTAAGCTCTAATTTATTTTTTTTTTGGCTCGTTGAATTCGAGCTCCAGTCGACTCCCAGTGAAAGCAGTTTATTGACCTTTTTAGTTTAAACTGGTCAACTATGGACAATTTAGACTAGTTTATCTAATCTTTTGCAAGCTAAAATTATAATACAAGATTTATCCAGCACATACTTAGTGACTATGAATTTCTATTGTAAGAAAAAAAGAAAAAAAAAAAAAAAAGGATTTGGAACATACTTGTAGCGTGGTAACACTACGCTCCAGCTCGGATATGTACTGTAACTTCCTCACCCGTGATCGTTGCGCTGATTGTCTATTGGCCAGAATCCTAATAGCAATATTCAACAAAAATAATTATGAATTGTACGGTGTTAATGCAGATAATTAAAAATATGGGATGATTAATTACCTTTTAATTCGTTTTGGATCGACTATTTTTTCGGAGGAGTTATCGGCGGCGGAGGCGGAGGCGGTTTGGTCGTCGGACTTGCATGAGCTTTGCACTTCCTCGGGCTCGGTTTTGAGGTCCTGCGCCGGATTCTGGAGGTGGTGATCGGAGGCGGATATCATTTTGGTATCTTCGTTGATGCTGTTGTGATCGGACGGCGAGGAGGGGTTGGAGTTGGGCCCAATCGACGTCGTGATGTCGTCGTTGAACATGGACATGAGCTGCTCGTCGTCGAACCTCTCGAACTCGGTGGCGTTGATATTCATCCCGCCTGAGCCGGCGGCGGAGGGAGCGGAGAGCCGCCGGCATTCCTCCACCATTGGGCTCTCCAGGAAGGCTATGGAGTCGCTGATCGATCTCCGGTGCGAGCCGCGCTTCGACGACGAGAAGTCGAGGAATTCGTCCACCCACGACGGCGTGTTCGTGCCTGCCGCCGCCGCCGCCGCAGGCGGCGGCGGCGGCTTCTGCAGAGCAAAGTCGTGCCAATTCAGCGCCATGTTCGGCACTCTCGGAGGTAATTGCGCCATTATTCAATCTCAATATAATTCTCAATCCCAATTCTCCACTCAAATCACTAACTAAAATCTCAGTCACTCACTCACAGAGACAAAAACACAAACAGATTACATGCATGCAAAGCTACCAAGTAAACAACAAAACATTATATATATATCTATGAAATATGAACCCTAAAACCATCATTCTTCTTCATCATCATCATCACAACTAGCTTGTTGATGCACATTGTAGGATTTAAAGTCAATCTAGCTAGCTAAGCTTCCAATGGGCATTGGGGTGGTGGGGGGTAGGGGTGGGGGTGGGGTCACATGGGGAAGATTGGGACAGCTATCAACAGCTGGTGAAGAAGTTGAGACCCAACTGTATAACTGGAAAGCAACAATATTTTATTTACTAAGAGGAATCAGAGACCACGTGCCCTTGTATATAATATACACTTCCTCCTCCATTACATTTTACGCGTCTAATTCAATTAACCAGACTTTAATCCAAGAACTAATTTTACATTTTACGCGTCTGATTTGATTAACGAGACTTAAATCGATGAACTAAATTTATTATTGGTCTATAACCATATCATTTGTAAATTAAAAATAAAGGAATAAGGTTCAAATTGGCCACTAAACGTAATCTTAAAATGCAATTAGGCCACTGAACGAAAAAAAAAAGTACAATTAGGCCACTAAATACTCCAAAAACGTGCAATTTCACCTGATAGCAGGTTACCATTAATTTTAGTAGGTTACCTGCTTATGTGGCAACTGAGTTGACATTTTTAATAATTTTTAATAAATTTTAATAATAATTTTTTTAAAAAAATAAATAAATAAGACGGGGTGGCCGGCGACCACCTCGTCGTTTATTTTTTAAAAAATTAATTATTAAAATTTATTAATAATTATTTAAAAATAATTAAAAATGCCAACTCAACTGCCACGTAAGCAGGTAACTTGCTAAAATTGATGGTAACCTGCTATCTGATGAAATTGCATACATTTGGAGAGTTCAGTGGCCTAATTGCACGTTTTTGGAGTGTTCAGTGACCTAATTACATTTTCAGGTTACGTTCAGTGGCCAATTTAAACCTTATTCCTAAAAAAAATTATAATTAAGGAATAAGTGAGAAATAAAAAATGAAATTTTGTAAAAGTACAAAAAGTTGAATTTAAAAAGTATAAGAAAAAAAGTTCACCCTTTATATCTATATAGGGAGAGGAGGGGGGTTAAAAGTTGGTGTAATAATAGTGTCATAATTTTTACCATGCAAGAATGAAAATGAGAGGGGGGAAGAAGATGAAGAGAACATTCGAGTGTACTGGCTTCTGCTATGCATGCACGTGGTGTTGAGCACCGTCTGATCATTATCAACGCCGTCAATTAACGGTGGGATTAATGGGTGATCACATGGTAGCATAAAAACTTCTTTTTTGGCATGATGATGATGATGGCATGCAACTACTTTGCATTTGCATTTTGGCTACCTACCAAAAGAAACTCATCATCATGTGTGTTGTATTGTACTATTGGGATTTGCAACTCCATCGTACCCTGCAACCATGTCCACTCTTCTTCTCCATTCAATTCATTTCTCTCTTTACTAATCTTCATTACTCTAACCTAATTGTATGTGTTCATTTCACCCCAAAACCTACATTTCTTGTCTCCTAATGTACCATTATTCACCATTTTTTGTTGGTAGAGTATTAACAATTGGCCATTATTGTCTTACTCAATACAATATCTCAGATAGATCCATAGTCCAAGTCTGTTAACATCTGCCTCAAACAACATTTAACGCTTTAAGTATATCAAGACCAGGGTCACTACCGCCTCGAAATCATATTATTTTCGTTCATTTCATGATTATGCATAACTCATTTTATTCCCAAGGAAACATTAATGTAAAGGGTACTTTTTTACATTGTACCCATATCCAATATTTGACAATCGTTTTGTTACTATATATATTCGTTATTACGATCAAGCAATTTCTACTCGGATGGCTCCTAAAACACTTATAATAATACCGAATGACCATACACATTTACTTTATTATTTGTTGAGCCCAAATACTTTATCTTGACATATTTAAGTGTTACAAAATAGTACATTGAATTGATTAGACCCATCACTTCTATTTACTAAGTTTTGTTGAAACAAGATCAATACTTACCTAAAGGGCAAATTATTGTCTGGAACACGATTTAAAATATCGTCGTGAATATTATGAGTAAAAATAATGTACATTATGTGTTAGAATAATATACATTATACTTTGGAATAATGTACATTACGTGTTAGAATAATGAAACATCTAGGGTAATATAATGTACATTATGTTTTAGAATAATGTACATTATGAATTACAAAAATGTGTGTTGCAGTTGGGTGCGCGAAAAAAGTAAAATTAAGCAAGACGACGTCGTTTTTGGACCGTGGTTCACACATCTGTGTATATTGTACCTAAAGCATTCTTGTGTAAAAGAGGAGGGAAGTATTATTTATTGAAAGTATATTATAAAGATGGACTTGTGAAAAATGTATAGTTTTAAGTCGATAAATATTTAAGATGGGTATATATACATGTGATGGTTTAGCTCCACATTAGATGAGAGGTGGTGGCTATGGAGGATGATGAGCTGTGGGAAGAGAGAGGAAGATAATGGCAAGCCATGTGAAAGGTTTTGCACGCCCTAACCTTGCTGCTTTACTTTGTCTCCAAACTATGCTCACATGTAGGGCATGTCTCCTCTCTTCCTATACTTATGCTTCTTCTATTTCCATGTTACCCTCCCAAATTGGGAATTCTGCCAATTTAATAATGTCACATCCACACCTCTAATCACCAGATTTAATCTTAATCAAGTGATTAGGCAGTCCACAATTGTACTTTAATTTGTACTGCCGTACTGGTAGTGATCAATTATTTGGGGGATGAAAATGGGATTAGTGAAGAGTGTGTGGGCCAGCTTGCAAATGGGTATGTGACATGTGAGGGCTCGAATAAAAGCATAATTGCGCTTGGACCCCAAGCCATGAAACAGGTGGGGGGATCGAATATTAGCTGCAGGCATCTGAATTGGATCTCTGTACATGAACCTGAAACTCTGAAACTCAAGATTTTGTGCCTCAATGCAACTTGATGATGCCTCAATTTTTAGATTTACTTGCATTTTATTAATGTTTATTATGGCCAACCATCATCAACTTGTATAAATGGTACATATAAGATGCCAAAGACCTTGTAGCAGCATGAAGTGACCCTCCCAAGTGTGAGAGGTCATGGGCTCGCCCCTCAGTGTGGCCGATATTGACTTATTGAGTTTCAGTAGGTTCAGAAAATATATATAAACAGATACTACATGTAATAGCACCTCAGACTAGGATGACCAGACACTCCTACCCTAAAAAGTCAAGACCCAATGCATGCAACCATAGTTGATGTTACCTATATTGGTACAGGGTACTTAAAAAAGTGTTAATTGATATTGTGTTATACTCCAAGAAAGTTCAGTATTTAGAGCCATATAATTCATTTATTTGTAAGACATTAAATAAATACTCCGTAAAAAGATATAACTAACAATGAAAAACTTAGTCATGCTCTATATGTGAGAATGAAATTAAGGGATATAATTGCTTGCATGCACGCAATCTTGGGTTCATGACATACTTGCCAACAAGCAATTGAATCAAAGAAAGAAACAGTTGCAGGGGTACTTAACTGAATTACCAGAACATCTGGTATCCTCAATGACCAAGCATTCATGCTGCACAATCTTACATGCTAATACAAACATGGTTTCAATCTATCTACTTGAGTTATCCTCAATGGTCTGAACCTTTTGTACAAACTCATCAGCGATAATCAGTTTGCAGATATCACAAACAATAAGTTTTAAGCCACACAACCATGGCGTTAGATTGCCAGACAGCGTTCACTGGAGAGAGAGCGGTGCTGTAACTCCAGCCAAAATCAGGGAAGTTGCGGTATGAAAATTATGAACTTTGCCACCCAGAAGTACTGTTAAATGATCTTTCAATAGAGTGTAAGGTCTAGTGCAATGGTGTACATACCTTTTCCAGTTGTTTTGCATGTCTCTTATATATGCAGCTCAATTTCTTGCATAAAATCAGAGTGAGATAGCTCATAGTAGTTATTGAAATAGATACCATACTGCTTCTTGGATGGACTCTTTCCTGCATGAAAGTCAAAGCATATTAATTCCCACTCTATCTTTCAACTGCAGAACATTGCTGGGTATCTTCTGCATAATAGCAGCAGTGTAAGGCATCATCAGATTAAAACAGGGAAACTTGTGTCTCTATAAGAACAAGAACTCGTGGATTGTGATCTCAACAGTGGCAACCACAGTTGCAATATAATGGTTGATGTATGGAAAAAGAAATTGCATTCATTGAAAATAATGGAGGCATAACTATATATGGAATTGAAGATAACTATCCATGCAAGGGAGAGGATGGAAGGTGTTACACTAGTAAGGGAGAAAGCCATACAGTTGGAATAAATGGCTGCTCAGCGATAAACCAAACGATGAGGAAGCTCAACTCTCCTCTAAAGGTGTCTATTTTGGCAATTATGGCGACATCTTGAATCACGGTGTAACAGTAGTTGGATCCTTGGATTTGGTATGTGAAGAAAAGGCCAAGAATACTGACTTGTGACAAATTCTTGGGGCACTAGCTGGTGTGAAGCTCAAGATGAAGTGCTGATCTAGTGTGACAACAGTTATGTGGTATTGCTATGATGGCTAGCTACCCTCTGAAGGACTCTCGAGGAATGTACCTTTGCCACATAAAAAACTTCTGCATTAATGTTGGCCATGATTACTGACAGTTCTTCTGTTTAAGGCCAATCAAAATGCAGTGAACTCTATAAAATGTTACACAGTAATAAATCCAGAAAAAAAAAAAAAAAATCGTTGCATACAAAAAAACTACAATTTCAAAAACAGTTATATTCAAAATCTTGAGTATGTGCCATAAACTCATAAAGATCAACATCAATGACATAAATCATAACTCATTTCCTTTGGCACTGTGTGAGAGAGCTATTATAAGTGATTTACTACATACCAGGGATCAGTCATGCTGTGAAAACATCTTTCATTATTAACGAATTTCTTCTTCCAGTGAAAGCCTTTACTCAAACCTACATTTAAATATCAATTGAATCCTTTCTCAATTAGCAGAATCCTTAGCAAAGAAGCCGTTTTTGGTTGAATTACTGTCACTAGTATAGTAGTATCACATAAGATTTCAAAAAATAAAAGAGACTTTTGTTATGGAGAACCTCACATTTTGCCAGTAATATATTAAGTGGAATATATGGCCTTACATTTAAACTCACCTATAAGATTGAAGTATTGGACTAATATTTTATATGTTAACAGAACTCTCAAGTTTGCAATTAGAATATTTACAGCATCACCGTTTGGCAGTCCTATAATTTACCATAGGATGAGAATTAAGATTAAAAAATAGCTCATCAAATTAAGAGATAATTACATGCACGCACTTTCAAACAAGACATGAATGAATCAAGAGCACAAAAGATTTACCAAAGCATGCATGCTTAACAAATACTTGCCTGCAGGCATTAAAGACATGAAGGACAAGCATGCCTAACTGAATTACCAAACCAACTGGTATCCTCAATCAGCAAGCATTCATGCTACATATAAGTACATGCTATTAGAAACATGGTCCCTGTGCAAAAGTTTGAAAAAAAACATCAGAAATCAGTAATGAAGGTGTTTCTTATTCTCAAAAATGTCTGCTTTACCATCATGCTTCTGCTCCCTCTGTGTTTGCATACAAATGCAAGTTTTGAGCAGCACGAGATGGACAGTCATCACGTCAGAATGGTGAAGAGGTACCAAGATTGGCTGCAGAAACATGGAAAAAGATATGAAGATAAAGATGAATGGGAAAAGCGTTATGAGATCTATCAATACAATGTATTGTACATTGAATTCTTCAATAGTATGAACTTTTCTTACAAACTCATTGATAACAAGTTCGCAGACATGACAAATAGTGAGTACAAATCAGTCTATTTGCGTTATAAGATAGACGAGCATAAGAAGGAGTCACACAACTTCACACTTCATGGAGTTAGATTGCCAGAATTCCCAGAAAGTGTTGACTGGAGAAAGAGTGGTGCTGTAACTCATGTCAAAGATCAGGGCAGTTGTGGTATGAAATTCTCAACTTTCCCACTCAGAGTTACTTTTAAATGACCTTACAATAGAGAATAAGGCCTACTACAGTGGTATACATAACTTATCCAGACCTCAGGTATGGGAAGCCACTTTCCCCTCCCCCTAGACATTAAAAAGATAAACACCTTTGAATATCTCCTTCAACTTCCTGTTTAATTTCTTGCATATGATCAGACTGAGATAGTAATCATGCAAGTATATACTGCAACAGCTCTTCTTTAATTCTTTCCAGCATGAAAGATCAGGCCATATTAACTCCCCGTCCATGTTTTCAATTGCAGGAAGTTCCTGGGCATTTTGTGCAGTGGCAGCAGTGGAAGGTATCAATCAGATTGAGACAGGGAAACTTGTATCTCTATCTGAACAACAACTTGTGGACTGTAATAAACACGGTTGCGAGGGTGGAAATACGGAAAAAGCATATGATTTCATTAAACGAAACGGAGGCATAACTGCAGAACATAACTATCCATATGTGGGAAAAGATGGAAGATGTGAAACTATAGCAGAAGAAAGCCATACAGTTACAATAAGTGGCTACACGAAAGTGCCAGAAGATGAGGGGTTTCTACAAGCTGCTGCTGCCCAACAACCTGTGGCAGCAGTCGTTGACGCCAGCATGGATGATTTTAGATTCTACTCTGAAGGCATATTTAATCCCATTTGTCCTGAAACACTGAATCATGGTGTGACAGTAGTTGGATATGGTGAAGAAAATGGTCAGCCGTACTGGCTTGTGAAGAATTCTTGGGGCACTAACTGGGGTGAAGATGGCTACATCAAAATGCAGCGAAGGTCTGGAGACAAGAATGGCAAATGTGGTATTGCTATGATGGCTAGCTACCCTCTGAAAGGCTCTTGAAGAATGTATCTTTGCCACATAACCAACTTGCTATATTGATGTTGGCCAAAATTACTGACAGTAACCTTGTTTAAGTCCAATAAAGATACAATAAGCACTATAAAATGTTGAAAGTAGTAATAAATTCAGGAAAAAAAAAAAGGAACTTTACGTGTGGAAATCTACAATTTCAATAATATGTATCAGTATATGCACAATTCCAACTAGTTATCTTAAAACTCAACATCAATGATAAATCATGTATTCATCCTCTTTTGCACTGTGTTGGAACTGTTACAATCAATTTACAACCAGGGATAACTCATGCTGAGAATATATCCTTCATTACTAATGGATTGCTTTTTTCTTAAGAAAGTCCTTGTGCGAAGTCACGAACTTCCCCAAAATATTAGTTGACTCCTTTCTCAATCAATGCAGTCCTAGGCAACAGAGCTCTTTGGGTTTCAAACCACACAATTTCAAACCATAACAAGTGTTTTATTTCTAAGAGACTCACATTTTGCTGGTAATATATCAAGGTGATGATACAATTTTTTATTGAAATCCACCTATGAGACTGAAATTCAAATATATAGTATGCAATTACAGTATTTTCAGCATTACCATTTGGATCTCTTATAAGATGAGAATTGAAACCAAAACAGCACATCAAATTGCTCAGCAACACACAAAAGCTCTTAAAATAAAATAAATAAAAACTCTACAAATCAAAGCCTTGAATTTCAGCAGAGTTAGCTCATCATGATTTACCTATGCAGAAAAGCTCATGTCCAATAAGGGACCCCGAGACCAGAACTTCTGAGGCTGCAATAAGAGAAGATGATCAAATTCGGTATCAAATGGGATGATCCTCCAGCGAGCACATAAATCCCTGCGTTTCCATTCACCAGCCACAACATCCATACATGTATATAAGCTTGAGAAACTACGAGTTTAGCTCAGCAAATCTCTGTCTCACGGCGTTGCCAAGCTCCCATTCACCAACTTCAGCAAGACCCTCAACCAGCCTCTGCCTCACCCTTATGTATGGGATAAATCCTTTCTTTGTCATATTCATTACAAACTTCCCCGCCAAAACAAACTGCCTGCACTCTATGCAGCCCTCGAGCACCATCTCGAAGCACTCAAACCCGAGATGCACGCCCTCAGCTTCCAACATCTCAACCATCTTAACCGCTCTCCATATCTCTTTGTTAGCCCGCATTGCCCCCAACACTTTCACCAAAACATCCTGCCTAGGGTTCAAGCCGACTGTCACCACCATTTCCCTCACCATCTCAACAGCAGCATCAATCATTCTGAGCTCGCACAACTCAGCAATTAAAGAGCCATAGCTGTCCAAATCCGGAACGCAACCAGCTCGCCCCATGCCCTTCAACACGCTAACAGCTTCCCTTAACTGGTCCACCTTGCAGAGCGAAGAAATGAGATAATTGCAAGTGCCGGAATCCGGGCTATACCCAATTGACTTCATCTCTGATAGTATGTCTGAGACAGACAGCAACTGCTTCCTACGTTTAACCCACGCATTGGAGAGGAGCAAGTGTGTTTGAGGGGTAGGAAGGCAGCCAGAACGGAGAATACGTTGAAGAATCGCGAGGGATATAGGAAGCGGATTCGAGGTTTGAAGAGTGTACGAAAGAAGACATGAATAAGCTTTAAAGGGACGAGAACGAGGTCTGAGAGGAATAAACGACTGCAGAATGTCGTCGACGACACTGATTCTCACATTCTCCGGGAAGGCCGAGAGGAACGAGAAAGGGTTGTGGTTTTGGAGAGATTTATCGGCGGCAGCGAGAAGTTCAGGAATTTGCTCGTATCGCTTGCTCTCAACCGCAGCCCTAACCGATTCTTCGAGCTCTGCAGATGAAGAAAGATTGCGCGCGGAAAAGAATTGAATGGAAGACCGATGAATGGGCGTAAGAAATGACCTAAGCTTTGCTACCGCCATTTACACTCTCTGCATAATTGTTGATCAATTTGGATTCAATTCGGTTATATAAACAAATTACGTTTGAATGGTTTATGCTCTTTTCTTTTTTCTTTTTTTCCTAAATTAATTCTCAAATTTCTGAACCAATTTGATTGGCATGAGTGATAGTGCTCTCTCATCAGATCGAAGTTCGAGCTTGATCTTGTACAATGTTCAGCACTTTGTCCTTTAATTAGGTCGACTCGAGTTTAACAATTCAAATTTACCAATTGTCTCAAACTATTAGGTTACATTGCAATTCGAGATATTTGAAGAGTATGATTCTGTTCCCAACTTTCTTAAATTTATCAATAAAAACATTGTATGCACTTGCTAGATAAGAAAGATGAAATTAAATAGGAAATTCTAGCTAAGTTAATTAAATAATCACAATGTTTCATGTTTAACTGTTCAACCATGGGAATTGGTTGATCTTTCCCGTAAATCAAAGATGGAATTAATCAAGGCAATCATAGTGATTAATGCCAAGAAAAAAAAAAAAAAAAAACAGGCTGAGTATACATACATCTGAGAATCTTCAAAATTGATTGATGATAATTCACAACAAGATCACAGTCATACCATTCTTGAATCTAAATGATTCCTTAATAGCAGCAAATAGTTAGTTAAGCTTTAAGTCAGTGCTTTCTATACAACAACAATGGCCTTTTTCTTGATCTGGTGCTTCGACAGAACAGCGTGATCCCCACAACGCTAAGCAGAAGTATCGCCTGCAAGACCATCAGCACCTGCAGCGCTGGAATCACCAAATCTCGTGATTAAGAGATACATAGTAACATCAAAGTTGTTTTTTTTTTTCCTTAATTTGATCTTACCTGTATAATTCTGGTCTGAGTCCTCCTTATCATCTTCATGTTTAGTTGCTTTTCTGCCAAATTTATGCAGTTGATCAATTCTCGAGCCTTGGCTCGTGGTCTGGTTGGAGGAATCCCCGCCCTTAACGCAAGTATTTGGGCAAGAAAACGTCCCATCGTTCTCATCACTTCCATCACAGCAATCTGGAAAAGATGGAACCAAGAAACATGAATGTAAAATGATCTGATAGTATGCTCAACACACCCCCTTAGTCGCTTATTGGGTGACATAGAGATTCACATGTGTTCCATCTCAACTAAAAGCCTAAGCTGATAGTTGGATTGTACATTAATGGCTATATGCTCAACACAAACAAACAGCAGAATTTAAGTACCGCAAATGTGATCATTCACTCTGGAAGAAAACAAAAATCTGGGCTTGCTGCCAATGTTCCTGCAATAAAATCTTCCCATGGGGCAAGCTCCAGTTCCTGAAAATCCAATCAATAATCAAACACTGTCACCAACTTCGAACAATTCAAAAACTGCATACCAGGCTCATCGGTGCCGTCAGGGCAGTCGCAGAAATTGTCGTTCAGGCGGCTGATGGCGAAGGAGCTGGAGCCGTCCTTGCATTTGATCACCTTGGAAGCGTAATAGTTCTTATCTGCAATCACATTATTATACCATATATATGTCAGCAGAGCATTGCTGTTTCAACAATAGATGTAAAGATGGAGAGATAGGGGACCTCTTGGGTGGATTCCGTTGGGCAAATCGTGAAAGGAATGGGAGAAATTGAAGGAGAGAATGAGGAAGCAGAGACTGAGGAGAAGACTTGGCTCCATTACTTTGAAAGTCTTTCGTTCTGTCTGTTATAATAGGAAGAGGGAACAGTATAATAAATAGAGTAAAGACCGGGCAAGGTTGACTCGTTTCGTGTCAAAATCAACCTTAGTAATCAAGTCTGTAAAATATGTTTTGATATTTAAATTGAAAAAATATTATATGTACTCTCAACTTTTATTTTCACATACAAAACATTGATGTAGACATTTGTATTGAGATTTACATTGAAAAAATGAGCCCACCACATTGGTTGAGTATGTGATTTTTTATTTTTTAAATTGATTTTTTTTTAAGTAACACATTTATGACTCAAACCCATGACACCCATTTGAAAAAGTCATTTCATGCCACTTGATGGGATATTGACCCAACAGGCTCGAGGCCCAAGAGATGAGAAGGAATGGGCAAGGACTGGGATTGCTGTAATGGGCCCAAAAGCGGATAAGAAGAAATATACGTTGTGGGCCGTAGGCAGGCCTTGTGGAGAATGTAGCCGAGTGAGGAGCCGAGTCCCGAGTCGCCCCAACTAGTAACCGTTGCTGCTTGAAGACCCGCCATTAATGTGAATCAATTCAATCGTTGGGAAGGCCATGTAACGGCGACCCAACGACTCTTAGCCCTTTATTTTCCCATTATTGCATACTTAAATTTGTATCTAGTCGTTAGAGAATAGTCAGCTATAAAAGGGGGTCCTCCCAGACTGTAAAGGCAGCGTAGCGTATCTCCCAGAATACCAGAATAATATTAAGAAATCATAGTAGAAAGTAACATATCCAGCTAGTTGCATCCCTGTTTTTCAAGAGCTTTTGATAAGTGCATGCGACGGTGAATCCACCAACCAACGGTTGTGTTGGACCTCTTTAGGCCCTAAAATCAACACCACTAGACCACAATGTCATTTGCTCTTAAAATTTATTTTAAGATAATTGTATTTCTAAAGTTTTAAGGTGGATGAAACTTTTTAAGGATGACTTGAACCGGATCATTTAAATTTATATTTAAGTTAGGTAGCTCAAAATTGGAGATTGAGCAAATTTTGAAAAAGAGAAATGCAGAATATGAGATGTTAGTAAAATGTTATATATATATATATATATATATGTGTGTGTGTGTGTGTGTGTGTGTGTGTGTGTGTGTGTGTGTGTGTGTGTGTGTGGGGTTAGGTAGTTTTCTTTTTTTTATTGAAAAATATTTGTGAACATTTTTAAATTTTGAAAATTATCTTGAGTGTTATGAAGTTTTGTATATTGTTGAAATAAAACATTTTTAAAATGCAACAACATTAACTATTGAGGGTTTAAGTACATCATATCTTTCAAGTTCTGCTTTAACTATTTAATAACACAATAATGTTATAAAAAAACAAAAGAAAAGAAAAACAAATAGGGTCACACTTTACATTATTGATTATTGTATTAAATTTTGAACTTTTTATTTTATTTTATGTATGCATTTTTTTTTGAAAGGTAAAACGAAGATGTATTGATTATCAAAAATCAATTGTTGAATACATAAAGGATAGACTGAAAGCCAACTATGAGAACCAGACTGAGAAGAAGTTTCTCTTACTAACACATGAACAAGCTTATTCGCTGATGTATGGATAAAACGAAACGACACATAATCGAACTGTCGTTTAAGCCTGAAACAATCCTTGAGAACACAACCGGCATAAGAATTATCATGAGCAGAAGACCTCAAGGATGAGCACACTAACTAGCAATCCAAAAGAATCACCAACTTTATTCAACCACACTCCATTGTCCAAGATAAATTCTCCTTATATTATTATCATGGTGAATTTAATTAGAAATAATAGCATGTATTAATGCAACTCATTATATTATTATATTATTTTAAAAAAATTCCATATATTTATATCTAAATCATAACAAAACGAAATCTAAATCTAACCAACAAGTTATAAATATAGTAAATTTTGTAGGTCAATAAGATTCGAGTATGCATGACAAGTTAACTCGTGTAAAATCTATTAGACATGTTAATATAATTTATTTAATTTTTTTTTATTAAATCTACAAAACAATATAAATATTTAATTTATAACATACACAATATTAAAAAAAAAAAATTGATAAAATAAGATATAAAATCGTAGCTAATACTAAATATTAACAGACTAAGCGAGTTGACATGTTAAGACACGAATTTTAATGGCACAACCCGTTAATAATCATAATACGTTAAAACTAAATATTAACCAGTTATTTTTGTTTCTGTTTTTGTTTTTTGTTTTTTTTTTTTGTTTTTTGTTTTTTTTTTTTGTATCACAAATTGGCAAGTTTATGGAGTATTAACAATTTTAAAAATACAGAGTAATTTGAAAAGAAAATTGATTTTTTGTTAATACTCCAATTAATAAAAAGAATTGAAAAGTAAAGAGAAAAGAGATAAAGTTGAAGGGTAAAATGAGAAGCAAGGAACCAGGATTGTACTGAAACAGCTTTGAGTAGATCTCCCTCCTCTCTCCTTCAAACGTTGCGGCCCCCCTTCTTCCTCCTTCAGTCCTTCAGATTCATCACTCTCTCTTTCTCTGCATACACACACACATATACAGAGAGAGGGAAGGGAGAGCTACTCCTCCACCCCCTGGCAGTGTACAGCGTAATAGATAGGTACGGAGAATGGGGGCGTACAGAGCGGACGACGATTACGACTACTTGTTCAAGGTGGTGCTGATCGGCGACTCCGGCGTCGGGAAATCCAACCTTCTCTCCAGATTCACTCGCAACGAGTTCAGCCTCGAGTCTAAGTCCACCATCGGCGTCGAGTTCGCCACTCGCAGCATCCGCGTCGACGAGAAGGTCGTTAAGGCTCAGATTTGGGACACCGCCGGCCAGGAACGGTAGCTTCATCTCCCTGTCCTGTTGTTTCTCTGTGTGTATACGGTTGACATTTGAGATCTGGTTGTTCTCATTGTTTGTGTAGCGGGATGTGATTCGTGCATTTGAGTTTTGTTGGAGTGATTTTGGTTTTCAGTAGGTGGCATCTAGCTGTAGGAATAGATCTGATGTGGTTTCCGTTTTGTTTCGCTGAGATTGTGATTGATAGGGACTGAAAGGTGAAATGTGATGCATTATGTTAGATCTCACCTCGTTGTTATTGGTGGAAAGTACTTTTCCTGAGGAAATGGCGTTTTCACCACCTACATTGATCCCGAAAGGAGTAAGTTTAGATTCGGGATGTAGATTGCTGCTTCCTTATGTGGCATTTCCTGTTACTCTGATTATAGATTGAGCTTTTTTTGGTTTAAAAGCTAACACTTAGAGTGGAAGTAACATATTGTGCTAACTATACCCTCTCTGTAGTCACAATACTGTTGTTTCTTATGTCAGGGAATTGTCTAGTTCTTGTTGGTTGGTTGATGTTTGAGTAGCACCATATAATGTTGGTTGCAGATTGTATGTGTGCTTAGGTTTGATTGTTCAGTTTGTTGTGTGAAGAAGAAGTAGATGAAATTAAGAAACAGTGGCATAATAATGTTTCATTAACACAAATATGATATCACTTTAGCTTGCAGTAATTGTCTTAAAGAAAATGCTTTCTAGCCTTATAGGTCATCCAGTCATGGTGTTTTGCACTTTTTTAAGTGTCAGTCCTTGCTTAATATGATTATAGTTGCTATCATTAGTCAAATTAGGTGTCAAATTTTCACCTGCTGACATATGGGATTCTATTCTTGGCTTCTTGCCATTATTTACCAGTAAAAATGCTAATGTGATTTGTGATGGCATTATCACTAGCAATCTTGTCTCATTTTCTTCAAAATACTTGTATCTTGTCATACTATTTTTCCTTGGAGAATGACTTATGGTTTGAACTGTTGAAGATATCGTGCAATCACAAGTGCCTACTATCGAGGAGCTGTTGGTGCATTGCTTGTCTATGATGTCACTCGTCATGTTACCTTTGAAAACGTGGAGAGATGGTTGAAGGAGCTCCGCGACCACACAGATTCCAGCATCGTCATCATGCTCGTGGGAAACAAAGCAGACTTGCGCCACTTGCGAGCTGTTTCAACCGATGATGCCAAGGCATTTGCTGAAAGAGAGACCACTTTTTTCATGGAAACCTCTGCCCTGGAGTCCATGAACGTGGAAGACGCCTTCACAGAAGTGCTCACTCAAATATACCATGTCGTCAGCAAGAGATCTCTTGAAGCCGGGGACGACCAAGCAACTTTGCCCAAGGGACAGACGATTAGCGTCGGGAGTAAAGATGATGTTTCAGCAGTAAAGAAGGCCGGTTGCTGCTCTGCTTAGAGGCTAGAGCAGATACCTAATCCTATGGCAGTTGAGGTTCTTTTTGTATTCAGTTATATCCTTGTGTTGCTATTGAACACTTCCAATTATATATAAAATTGACAGGCCATTAAAGTTTGTCATTTATTGGCTCACAAAATCTTAGTTCACACCATTATAACATACCTTATTTGCACTGTATGATTATGGCTGCTTGTTAACATCCATTGGATAGACTATATTGATTTGGAAACTTTTTAATTAAACATTAGCTCCCTTCTAAGATTATTGTTTGCAAATGTTGTGTGAAATAATGTTTGGTTTTTCTTATGATCTGTACCCAGTTAAGAGCTTCATATTGCATGCTGGTTTTTACTAAATCATGGTAAAAGCATATGCAACATTCTAGAAAGGAATACAATGCTGGTTTATTTTCATATGGTAAACTGTGAGAAAAACAATACAATGTTCTGTGTTCCACTATTGGCTGGCCTATATATATGGAAGAGTTGGGAAAAGGAATTAAAAATGGAGATGGAAAAGAACAAAGAAAGAATAAAACACTGATGGGTTTTGATCCTTAAAGCACTTTATATCCCCAGATCACAAGGAGCCACCCCACCTTGTCAGAATCCAACTTCCATGGCTTCACTATCTGCTGTTAATATAGGACTAATATCCATTCGCAAGCATTCATCGCTGAGTTTGTTTGCTTCCAAAGAGATCGTTCATCCTTGTAGGCAGATTGGGAGCTTCACGCCACCAAATCCTGCATTTGGGCAAATAATGAAGTCAGAATTTACCCACAAGTTGATTCAAAGATTCATGTTTTTTGTCTTCTTTTCTGCTTTCTTCCTTCTAGGAAGGAGGAAAGTATACACTAATACGAAAAGAATGTTCGTTATAGCAAATTGTTATACTGCTGCACACAGAAAATGCTAATAACACAAAGACCCAAATGTATAAACACTAACAAATGGATTTTTGCAAGTAATATACCACGTTACATTCATTGTAAGAGTAATAGAGCCAAGAAGGAAATGATGCAAGCCCCACTCTAAGAGACTTTGCAGAGTATATATAACCAGTGCGCACAAGAACCTGTCCCTGTTACAGACTGAACGAAAGTCGTAGGTAAAACAGAAGATCTTTAATTATCATACACTAATTACTCCTTTTTTCCTTCTGTCATGTTTGGATCACAAATTAATCGAGCAAAATAGGACATAATGAAAACTATAAAGACAAAGATAAGCAAAGATATACACAAAATTTCTTTCATTTTTTGGATATGCCAAAATGAAGTAGTAACTATTTGCTGATGTAATTAGAAACATCATTAAAAACAGTGTTTAGATTTCCTATCTTGCATTAACTCACATTACGGTTCTACTCGGTACCTCCTTATTAACAACAGCAAAAATGCCACATTTACTACCCGAGCATCTGATCATGAAGGATGCATGAAATTCATTTGAGAGCCTTACTGGTAACACCTCTTTTACTTACTATTATGAATAGCAACAATCTAGAAACCAAAGAAATGATGCAAACAACACAACATAGAGTTCCTTAAAGCCAGGTCAAAACCCGAAAGTGCTTTGCCATCACATTATGTTTGATAAGCATTCAGACAATATGGCTAGTTTATCAAACTCGGTTCTTGGTCAAGAACAATTTAGTCTACTGCTAACATCCCTGCAGACTCATTTCAGCTCCCTATTGGCATCTTTACAAGTATATTCAGTTCAAAATGAAAGGATTCAAAGATGGATATATATATATCATAAAAGCCTCGTGTGGGAGTTATATCTAATGTGGGGCCGCTTAGTCAGTCACAGTGACACGGACCCTCCATTATTCTGTCGGGCCAGGTAGGGACCACCAAAGCCAAAAAAAATTGGCCTTTTATAAGCTGTAATACTTAAAACTCCAAAAAGAGCAACATAATAACCTTCTTAATATAAACCGATTATCTATGAAAAGCCCTATTAGTTTATCCTTTATCGATTAGGGTCAAAACGCGGTACTACTGCGGTTTCTAAAAACAAAATCAAAACTAGGAAGTATTTACTGCAAAAATTTAATCTTTATAACATGGAAAGAGATGGAGAAGCCATGCCATATGATATGGTCATCCACTTGAACCGGGGCGGTTCATGAAGTCCGGGAACTTGGCTTCGCCGCCGGTGGTTCTCATCGTGTCATGCCCACCGACGGATTTGGGCCGGCCGTCTTCCCCGTGGGGATCAGGGAAAGATACAGAACGATGCGGCCCGCTACTGCCTCTCCCTCCCGGCTTCTCTTCGCGGCGCTTGAACCCAGGCCTAAGATGCGGCGGCACGAAGCGGTCCGACTTCGACACCGGCGATTGCAGAGGCGAGATTGCGCTGGATGGAGAAGCCAAGGAAGGGGAAGAGATTATCGGGCTGGACCCAGTCCGGCCCTGCGGGCGCAGAGAGATGGAGTCCGATTCAGGTTCCGGCGGGGCACGATCCGCCGGAGATGACAACGAAGCAGCCGGCGTCGGGCTCAGCGATTTAGCCTTAGCCTGGTGCTGGATCGGGCCGGGCTGGGGTTGCGGTATGGCAATGGGTTTGGGCGTGGGACGGCTCAACACAAGCATGTGGCCATGGATACGCGAGTTGGAAATCACAGTCTTACTATGATTCGCAGTGGCCGGAGACGAAGAAGAATTGGGGGAGGTGGAGGTGGCGGTGGCGCTTCTCTTTTCATAGATGTCGTTGAAGTTGAGGGAAGCGTATTTATTGCTTCTGGCCATCCACCACGACCGTCGGCGCCACCGTGTAGGGAGTCGGAGGAGCAAAAAGGGATCTTGTGCGAGTTGCAGCGATCTGCCAAGATGATCGTTTTCTTCGTGCGCGTTGGCCTTTCCTGTGGGTTTGATTAGGGAACTTTTGTAGTTTTGTCCCCCATCTCTTTCTTTATTCTCTTTTTCATGTCATACAACAAAAAATCTACTCTTTTCTTCTTAATAAATTTTATATAATATTTGTAAACATTTTATATACATATATAATATATAATTATTGAAAACAACTCAATCAAATTGGTCAAGTATAACTAACATTATTTTAGTAATTGTGAGCTTTTTTCGTCATTCAAAAAAAGTATGTTAAATATATAGACAAACTTGTGAGGTGTGAGTGTGTGACCTTTGTCTCGACTGGATGCATGTTGGTTTTGATATTGGGTCCAAGTCTCCCTATGTTTGAACGAGGACCAACACTTTGGGTTATGATCATCTATGTCAATCTATCTCCTATATTTATGTCCATCTTATAATGTGGATCTTGATATAAGTTCGTTACTCGTTATGTCCATCTTATAATGTGAAAACATGCCGTCACTATTCGATGGTATACACTAAGTAAATCTCACTTTACAAATGATAGGTAAATTACACTAGAAAGATCCTGAATGATGGGGTTGATCAAGAAGGTATTACATAGAGTGAGATGTTAATACAATAATCATGTTTTACCTACTCAATCAATCATTTCAAGATAATTTTCTTCCCCTTGTATTATATATATATGGAGTTGGTGAGCGCAAGTAATAATGTCATCACAATAAGGTTAAGACGATTGAACTCAAAGCAATACTAAGTTGCTAACAAAAGAAATCAGATTTAAAAAAAAAAAAAAAAAGAAAAAAAAGAAATCAGATTTAAAAAAAATAATAATAATTAAAGAATATTAAGTGAAATATGGGCTTTATTGGCGGGCTTTCATACAAGGCCCAAAATCTGGATCCGGATAAGATCGACGGGTATTTTTTACATTACGAAAAATAAAAAATAAAAAATACTGCAAAAATTACGTCAAAATGAAGTCCCTAAAAACCCTAAAGTCGTTAAACCCCTCCTCCAAGCCTTCACAAAGAGGCTAAAATCCCAGCGTTCTTCATTTCCAAGCTCGAAGACGATCTTTCCCTCTCATTTGCTCATAATCGTCAGCTCTCGTCGGTTCTAAATCAGGTATACTCAGATCTCAATTCCTACCGCTTTCGTTCTATGTGTATATGCATTCGATTGAATTTAGTTGCCCTTTTTTTTTGTTTGCAATTCGTGTTTTTCTGAGCTCCTGTGCACTAGAGGACACAAAAATCTGTCTTAGATGCTGTTTTTTAAAGCCTATTTGTGCATTTGCTAGGGTTGCCGTAAAGCGGTGGTGGAGATTTTTATTTTTGTGGGCCGGGTGGGAGGGTGAGTGAGGATTTATTCTATCATTTATTGTTAATGCAAGGTAGGTTTACATTAGAGAAAGGTGATGATTGTCAATGCAAGGTAGGTTTACATTAGAGAAAGATCATGAGAGAGAACCATTGCTCGATGTATTGGATATTATGGTAATTGAGTATGAGAAATGGAAAAGAATAACTGATTTTATGTTTATTTTAGTTACTTTAGTATTCTGGTCTCAACATTCTCCAGCTGAGCAAAACTGTAATGCACATCTTTTCTTTAATTCCAAAATGTGGATAACATCTAATCAGTAAAATTGGTGTCTCTTTTATTTGACTTTGTATAAGATATCTGCTGCCATTGCAAATAATCTATTTCTGTTCACCCAATCTTCCATGGTCTAGTTAGGTTGCAGAACATAAAGAGTCTTGGTGTCTATTCCTGTAATTTATTTTCTAGAAAGTACCGATTTAATGCCAAGTCTCTATGTCTTACACCAATACTCCACTTATATGTGCTCCCTTACCTTTTATACACATGTCATTCTGATCCAGTCACACTATGAAAACCCTTCTAAAGATTTTATTTAGTTTTGGATCAAATTTGTAATACAATCTCTTTTGTATTTCATATCAGTGTATCACTTCTTGCTCTATTGTTTTCTTGTGTTATGCATCAGCCAACTAAGAATAGCTGTTATATTGATGACAATAATAATAATAGTATAAAAATAATAAACATGACATCTGTCAAGTGTAGGGTACCATGATTATTTAATAAGATAATGTGTGTATGCCGTAGAACCTATTTGCCTTACACATGTAAGAGAACATTAAGTTCATTTTGCATAGTTTCTAGTGACCATTACTGTGATCCACTTTTTTACTTGATACTCTTTATTACTCCACATTCTTGTTTTCTTTCAGGGATTGGAAAGATGAATCTCAACAATGTTAAGGTTCCTAAAATGCCTGGTGGTGGTGCTGCTTCTGCTTTGATCAAGGTTGGTCTTGTTGCTGGTATTGGTATATATGGAGTTGCCAACAGCCTCTACAATGTTGATGGAGGGCATCGTGCCATTGTCTTCAACCGTATTGGTGGTATTAAAGATAAGGTATTTTCCTGTCTTTACTTAAATTCAAATGAGTTGGATGTTTGTGTCACATGATTCCTTGTTCTGAAAGTTTATAATGCCAATGGAAGTTTCCCTCTCTAACTTGAAATCACATTTATATTAAAGGAATCAGTAATAAAGACTTTTTATTTTCTGCTTCAGTCTTGTTCAACATAATAATTTTATGACCTTTGAATAATTACCAATTTAGGCACAAACTTAAATTAACACTAAGGTCTAAGAATCATAGTATAAAATTCAGGCTTCATTGAAATTTCCATTAGGTCTCCACTTAATAAAAGACATTAAAGCATATACTATGATTGTTAATGTTATCTTAAGTTTTTGAAACTAGTCTAAATTTAGGCAAATTGTTCTTGTGGGTTTTTGACATTTGTTTTTCATTGCTTATGTTTTGTTGAACTTAAATAGAACAATTGTCTAATTTCATAGGATTATTCATTTACTTCTAAGTTCTAATGAATGGCTAGATTTATGTGAACTATGAGAAGTTTCTAATTCTGAAACTGCAAGCTGTCAACTTGTTAACAAATACATGGTGTGTCAAATGAGATCCTGTTAGCAATATATATTTGCTCGCTAAAATTATGTACAAAAGATTTCTATGTTGTGGATTTTGATTTGTTGCCTTATGCTTTCCCTTGGTAGGTTAAGGTCTCATTTACTTTATCCTTTGGTCTCCTTGATGCTGCTACTTTGCTGACATATCTTGAGTGTTTATGAATAGGTCTATCCTGAAGGAACACACTTTATGCTTCCATGGTTTGAAAGACCAATAATCTATGATGTTCGTGCAAGACCCCATTTAGTTGAAAGCACGTCAGGAAGTCGTGACCTTCAGATGGTAAGTCTGTCTTGAAGACTCCCTGTTTCTAGTGCTTTAACCATCTTTCTATTGATTTTAAAATTTTGATGAGATTTATTCTGTACTGGAAGGTGGTGACTATCTGCTTAAAGCTTGTATAATGTTGACCTGGCATATGACTAAGTTACAGAACAGTGGTATTTTCTATTTTTCTCCCCAGGGATGAGTTGACAAGGAGGTCCATCTTTTCTGTTTGCAAGGATGGTTCACTGTGGCTATTTTCTTCTTTAGTTTTAATACATGAAATATTTTATACTTGAGAACTAGTTCATACTGAATTGCAATAAGTGGGAGCAAGAATATAATGTTGAGTTGGCTAGGAGGTTTGTCTTTTCTGTTCACAAGGATGGTTCATTGTGGATATTTATTTCTTCAGTTTCACTATGATGAAATATTGGAAGATCAGTTAGTTCTAACTCTATTGCATTAAGGTGGGAACAAGAATATAATGATGAGATTCACTTTATTGGGGCTTGCTTTGCACTTTAGGTTCCCATCATTTTCTTCTTTTCATATGGTTTATCTACATACTTATCCAGCATTCATGACATGTGTTCATCCTTTGTTGCAAAGGTCAAAATTGGTCTTCGTGTTTTAACACGTCCAGTGCCAGATCAGCTACCTACTGTATATCGGACTCTTGGTGAAAACTATAATGAAAGGGTGTTGCCTTCCATCATTCATGAAACCTTGAAGGCTGTGGTTGCCCAGTATAACGCCAGCCAGCTCATCACCCAGAGAGAGGTGCGTGTCAAATATCTTTAGCCGCTACTAATTCTAGAAAGCTGGTTATAGTGCTCTATGCAAAAGTATTTTATGCCATGTGGCCCTTGCAAGGTGTTTTTTTTTTTGGGTTTAACTCATCATTAGTTGACACAATGAGTAATATATAATTATATACTGAAACATTTATCAATCCTAATAGTTATCATCACTATATTATCTCATGTTTACTTGAAACTATGCTGTGCAGACTGTGAGTAGGAAGATACGTGAAATTTTGACTCAGAGGGCAGCTAACTTCAACATTGCACTAGATGATGTGTCTATCACCAGCCTGACTTTTGGGAGGGAATTCACTGCTGCCATTGAAGCAAAACAGGTGGCAGCACAGGAAGCTGAGAGAGCCAAGTTCATCGTGGAGAAAGCCGAACAGGACAAGCGCAGTGCTATTATTAGAGCACAGGTGAGTACAATTTCAAATCCTTGAGCTTTAAGTGGCTAGCCATGTTTCATCTGTTTGTCTCCCAAAGCAAAAGAGCAGATGTAAGTTATATTCCAAAATTTGGGTGTAAAATCTAAATCAAACTTGTGCGCTGGCTTGCAGGGAGAAGCTAAGAGTGCACAACTGATTGGCCAAGCTATAGCCAACAACCCAGCCTTCATCACGCTCAGGAAGATTGAAGCAGCACGAGAAATCGCTAGCACAATCTCATCCTCGGCCAACAGAGTATACTTGAGCTCCGACGATTTGCTGCTCAACCTCCAGGACCTGAACCTGGAGAGCGGAAGGAAGTGATCAAAAACTGTTAGACCCATACAATTGAGTCTCTCCCACGTTCACTTATCGTGGGGGAAGTTCCTTTGAAGTCTGAACAGGAACACCTTTTACCTATGCTTGCTTTTGTGGATTGTTGAAACAGGAATATGCATTTTGCGCAAGAAATTTACTTTTTAGGAGCAAAAAAATGCAAGTGCCTTGAGGGATATTATTTCAGATGGTTTTAATCTGGAAGCTAGTTGGTTCTTAATTGAAACATTGACTTTATTATTACTAATAAACAGTGGTATTCATATAAGAAATCCAACTGGAGATTACTGTCACTAGAATTAAGATTTAAATTTGATTGATCGCATCCTACTTATAATTGTCCTCTTTCTTTTTTATTTTACATTTTGTAGTTAACGTGGCTAATGTGAGATAATAAAAAAACGTACGTGGAATTGTGGAAACTACGACCATGGACCATCACAGGCGGAACCTTCCAAACGCCTACCTGTCTTTGCCGGCAGATTACTTGTGTCGCTCGTAAACATCAACTAAAAATATCCTCCCAACCTCGTTCCCTTCACCCACCAACCACTTTCATTTTTCTTCCTTCCCCACCTTTGATTCTTGAATTGCTTGCTGTTTCATGCTACATATGGAAACCGACCATTCATGTCTTTATTTTTATTATCATTCTACATTGGCTTCCATTCATATCTTCATTTATTGGCGTTCTACGCTGCCCCAAAAGGGTGACTGAGTGAGTAAAATATGATTCTCTACTATAAAATCAATTTCTAGTGAATAGAAATAGAGATTGACGAATGTCCCAGAGCATGATAAGCTTCACTTAACACTTACTTTTACAGGGCGTTTGGTTGGAGGGGGGAATTATGTGGGAAAGGAATTGTAATTCCATGGGAGTTGAATTACTGGAAATAAAGTGAGAATTTAAATTCCAGTGTTTGGTTGACAGGAATAGAATTACTGGGAATTTCAATTCCAATGTTTGGTATACATGGGAATTGAAAGGGAATAAGTAGTATAAATTTCAAAAATGTCCATTATTGTTGTTAGACATTAATTTTAGGTTAAAAAAGGAAGGGGTAATTTTGACTCATCACTATCTTTTTTACCCATAAATTAAAATACCAGGGGGACATGTGATTTTAATTCCATGAAAATGGGGGAATTGCAATTCCATGGAATTGCAATTCCCTCCAACCAAACTACGGAATTTAATGGTCTTTGAAATTAGGTGGGAATTAAGTGAGAAGGGAATTTAAAATCCCTCCAACCAAACGCCCTGTTAGTGGTAGGGTGATGTTTGACCCTACCACAAAAGTTGGATAAGTGTGTAATTTTTGTTTAATTTTAAAATTAGATTAACTCAATTTATCAAATATTTACCATCAGTCTATATTGCAATATGGGCCATGGTTCATTGTATAATTTGTCATTTACCTTAATTATTACAGGTTAGGCTCATGATATAGTCCAACGAAATTGTAAAACATGAGTTATTAAAAAAAAAAAAAAACGTTGCAGCAAGGAGCATAGTACGTTACGCCGTTAAGTTAATGATGGTGTCGGCACGGTGGGTGGACGGTGGAATTGCGAGCTGGCGTCACGAGAGTCACGACCCCTACCTAATAGTTGGTTTATTCTACGGCAGATCGATACGGGCACGGCCGCCGGTGCCGCTGCAATGCTGGTGCGTACCATCTTGCTTTTAGGTCAAATCTGGGTTTGTCTTTTGGGTTGTCATTTGCTTTCCACTACTCCATCTTATATGCTTTGTTTAAATTAAAGCATCTTGTGAGCAACGCCGGTAGGCCAATTCAACCTAGCTGGCTTCTAATAAAGTGTATTCATCATCAAGATTCTTCCTGCTTTATTTCTTTCTGGAACCAGTAAACCCGTGAAAGGATAAATCACCAAATTCCACCGAAAACATAGGTTGTGTGATGGGTTCGATCAATAAAATGTTAACAATGAATAAATGTGTAAGTTTTAAGTGCACAAATCATGTTTCATTAATTTGGCTATTCTTTTTGGGTAGTACGTAGTCTATAACTATTGAATTTAAGCTCATAGGATATTGATCTAAGAGCATTTTCAATAGCAGAATTTTTTAGGAGTTTTTACAGGTATGATTAGAAAAGAAAAGATGAGAGTGAAGGAAAAAAAATCTAAAAAAAAATAAAAAAATAAAGAAGAAATATACAGTTTAACGGGGCGTTATTGTTGCGCCTCACACGACTAATCGCGACCAATTTTCATATTTGGTGGGTCCACTTCAGAGATTAAAAACCAGTTCTTCGGAGAGATTCCAATCATTCTCTCTCCCCTCATTCTCTCTCTTCCAATTCAGCTAAGGTCTCCTCAAAAACTGAACAAAAACCACCGATGAAAATGTTCTAATGGATGAAAAGCATCGGCTTGCTTTCCGCAATAGTATGGGGGTTTGATTCCTGAGCTCTTTGTGTACAAAAGTAGTGTACAACTTATTAGTGTTAATTTTGAAATTAAATTAGTGCGGATTTATTTAGTCATGAGCATGAAGGTGGATTCATGGACTAGTCTACAAAGTTGAAAACATGATTTATAAAAAAGGAAAATTATTGAGTTTTTTTTCCAAAAAAAAAAAAATTATTGTTTAAAAAAGTAGTGCCAAACTTAGTGCGTGACGTTAAATAGTTGTCAGCATTATCATGTGACGAGGTTCAGTCATAATGTTGCGAGGCTTGTTTGGTACCGTATTTTGTCATGCGAATGACATGGGCCACGTGGAAGTAGAGGAGTGGACCACATTTCTTTACTGTTTGTATGGAGCCTTGTGGAAACCCACGTGTTTGGGGCCCACCCTTGAGGCTTGGTGACGTCGGCGTCGACGCCATACCAAACTTCTCCTTCGCCTTACGTCCTCTTCGCTCACCGTCCACCTTTTTATCTTCTTCTTCCTCCTCCCTACGTCACTCTCTCTCTCTCTCTCTCTCTCTCTCTATATATATATATATATATATATTACATTGATATTTGTATTTCGTAAAATTAATTTAGTTTTATCCAGTCCAAGAACAGTTTAAGGAAGTAAATCGCAAATTGTTCTGTTAGTTTCTAACTTTTCACCCCTGACATGTACATTCTGTGCACACACAGAGAATATTCATTACGATTCGTTTAATGTGTAGACAATTAATAATTGTTTGATGACGCATTGAGACACAATAATATTTTTAAAAATAATCGTAATGAATTAATATTTAATTAATAAACAAATTACATATCCTAAAATTTAACACTTTCTTAAACTCTCAACCATCAAAATAGCTATAATTAATTAAAGATTAAAATAAGTTTTTTTGCATTCATAATTATGGTTGCCGTAAACGCTACTCGGACTGTAGAGTAGCGCTTAGCTAAAAAAGAAAAAAATACACACCTAAATGGTTTGCCACCTAAAGAGTAATTCGTCTCGATTTAAAGACTTCCAACGTCTAGATCATTTTTGCACTTATAACTACTAACCAAAAATTTTAATCAATGCAATTTTCAATCATTGATTATTGTATATCAATTTTTCCACTCTTATCATTTTGGTCTACCAAAAAAGATTTGATAAGACATACAAATCTTGCAAATCTTAGTCAAATTACTCAAATCGTTGGTAAAATAAAGAAATCACAAAATGAGGGATGGGCCTTTAATATAACTACTTTATAAAATATTGCCGTAATTATATTTTAAAAAATGTTCTTTTCCACAGCATAATATGACTCCTAAATTGGCAAGATATCTGACGTCGTCATAGTACGTAGCTTGACGTCACCATTATTCTAGATTTTATCAATGACAGTAAAACGAATCTTTTACTTTTGTGATTAGTTTTTATTTTTTTTTTCTATTTTTATATTTTATTTCTTTAATTTTTATATTTCATTGTTTAGTTTATACGGTCAAATTAGAATAATACACAAATAAAAATGAAATGAATGATAGTATATTTTTTATAAGAAAAGAAAATGCATGTGTATTTTTTTTCAACTATTCACTCTCATAAGGTGTAATAAATATAATTGGGATTCAAATTTGTAGCCTTTTATTTGGAGAAGCTACAATTATACCCTTCGACCATAAGGTCATTTGCATGTATATGTACTTAATTGTAGTGATAATTTGTGTATCATATCTATTTTGTTATATATTTATAAATTATTTTTTTTGATTTTATCATTTATTATATAATAATATATAATTGTATCTCTCATCGATAAAATTTTGACAAGTTTCTTCTTGTCTCACTTTATAAAAGTTATTTTATTCTTGGGAAAATTGTTGAAATAAGCCCTCGAACTTTAGCTTAAAAGTCAATTAGGTCCCTAAACTTTTTAAAGGTGCAATTACACCCATCAACAATTCATTTAAGTGCAATGAAGCCCAAAAATAAATTAATGACCTGCTATCACAGGTCATTAGGGTTCAGGCCACATTCCGACGAATTTTCAAGAAAAAAAAAAAAAAGTGATCGGCGAAATTTTCGACAAAAAGTGACTGGCGAAATTTTTGTTAAATCTGGGTTAGTTACTGGCCACCTTTTTTTTTGTCGGAAAATTCGCTAGAAGGTGGCCTAAACCCTAATGACCTATGATAGCAGGTCATTAACTTGTTTTTGGCCATCATTGCACCTCAATGAATTGTTTATGAGTGTAATTGAACCTTTAAAAAGTTTAAGGGTCTAATTGACTTTTAAGCTAAAGTTCAAGAGCCTATTTGACCATTTTTCCTATATTCTTTTGACATAAGAATAAGTAGACAAAAAAAAATTCTTAGTATCTCCCAACCTATCTAGAGATTCCAAACCTAAACTCTAGAAACCCTTTGTGTACTAAGAGTTATTTATATATAACACTATTTTAATCTATTTTTACTACTTTCTCTCTCTATAGTTCAAACTCACTGGCCCTGTTTGATAAAAAATTGGTCTATAGGCTAATTTTGACTTATTTAACTACTATTAATTATTTGATTTAGTTAAAATATCAATATAAATGTTTGGTTAATTAGCTTTTTGCAACTCCAAAAGGTTAAAATTAAAAAAAGGTACTCCAAGCAACTTTTTCAATTAACTTTTTGAGAAAAGAAATTATACCAAACAGCTATCAGCTAACAGCTAATTTACCAAATAATTTTCTACAATCAGCTAATGTTATCAACTATTTATACCCTCTAATTAACACAATCAGCTAACAGCTAACAGCCATTTTACCAAACAGGATGATCTCCCATTTGCGAGAGACACTTCAGGGTTCACGCTATTAGACCACAAGTTATTGACATACTATTTTAATCTATAGTTATACTTGTACGATATAACGTTCTTTCAGTAGATAATAAACAACATCGATACATTTATTTAGTTTTTGCAATATGCAATATTTGATTTTTTTTTTATTTTTGTTTTTGCATAACAATAAATTATATAGGAGTACAAATATGTCGGTATGTGTCAATGTGTCATCCGTCGACAAAATGCTAAATGCAATTAATCTCTGCATTAATGCAATATTTCAATTGACAAGTTGACGTACATATCAATCAATTTCAGTCCTATTTGTATCGATGTGATGATTTAATTTTCATGACCAAAACATTTCGGTTGCATTCAAATTTAATGTAAAACGCAACAATCTAAAAACATAATAAGTGTGAATGAAAATTATACCCCTGATTTATGTCTCTTTTTTTCGTTAAGTTTTTTTGTACATTATCCTATAAAGATTGTACATTAAAATATTTTGGACAAACATACCCCTACCGTTATAACTTCCGTTATCTTTTCCACTATTGTTACCATGCACATGCATCCACCATATATTTTCTTATCTTCTTCATTAATAATAATATATACACATTCAATATTTGAGTTATATGTTAATTATTTCATAAATATAAATATCTAATTTATAAAAATGATTTACATTATTATTACTATTTAGAATAATTTAAATATCTAAAATCTAAATAAATTTAAAATTTTAATATAATGTATTAATATTGGGCACCTATTTTTTACGCATCGCGCAACTAGTAATAAGGATAAGAAGCATATATTTAATTATTTTTGTTGACATTTTGAAAGATAGAATCACTCACCCCAGGCGTTTTCATTAATAACTCTACTGAGGCTCGAATCCACAACTTTCGATGTTAGAGTTTTTGGTACCATTGTACCACAATGTCCTTGGTCTCATAATGGTAGTTTAGTTGGTTTAACCGGTCATCCTAAAATTTCGCTTTAGCGTAAGGGGTTCAAGGAGTTATAAAAGCTTAGAGTTAGATTGACCGAAGTTAAGAAATTTAATGTATATAATAATAATAATAATAATAATAATAATAATAATAATAATAATTATTATTATTATTATTATTATTATTATTAGGAATAAGGGTCAAATAGGCCACTAAATTGCACACCAAACTACAATTAGGTCATCAAATTTAAAAAAGAAGCAATTAGGCCTCTAAATTACACAAATTCATGCAATTAGGTCTAAAATGATCTGTTTACTTGCCATGTAGGTTGCGAATTTTAAAAATAATTTTAAATAAAAAATTTATTTTTTTAAAAAATCAAATCAGTCAGAGACGAAATCGACTCAGGCCGTTCTGTATTTTTTTTTTTTTAGTTTAATTTTTTAATTTTTTGTTTAAAATTATTTTAAAAATCCGCAATCTCCACATCATCAAAGTATTAAGTAAATAGGTCATTTAAGACCTAAGTGCATGAATTTGTGTAGTTCAAATATCTAATTACACTTTTTTTTGAGTTCAATAGCCTAATTGCAAATTTGATATGGAGTATGGTGGTCCCCTTATTCCTTATTATTATTATCCAAAAGAAAGGGCAAAGCTAATCCGGCCAAAAGAGTCGCAATCAGTGAGGAGGTGGTGACATAATTTAACGTAAGCCACATCCTGTGTAACGCGTAAGAAAACGTAACTGCCGTTGACGCCAAAACTCTATCTTCTCCACTACCCCCCTACCCCACCCCACCCTACCTAGTGCTTCTGTATGTATATATTAACATACATATTTCCTATATATAACACCACCCCTTCCAGTATAATTCCCCCATCTTTTTCTCTCCATTTCTCGTTTAGATTCCATTAAACACCGTAAACAATCATGCAGGAAGCGATTCCTTACAAGACATGGCAGCTGACGTCAGTCCCGAGATCCAATCCTCTGCTAAAACCCGCCCGCTCTCCGCCGTTAACGATGAGCAAAACCGCGGCTTCTTCCGTCTACTCCGACGGATCGGTGGAGGATCTGAGGAATATGGTGGCGGAGAACGCCGTGATCGTGTTCGGCCGCCGCGGCTGCTGCATGATCCACGTCGTGAAGCGGCTTCTCCAAGGCTTAGGCGCCAACCCGGCGATCTACGAGACCGATGAAGGGTCCGAAGACGACGTCGTTAACGAGCTCGAAGCCATCAGCGCCTTTGACCGGAAGGACGGCCGGTTGCAGTTTCCGACGGTGTTCATCGGAGGACGGCTGTTCGGCGGGTTGGATCGGGTTATGGGCGCTCATATCACCGGCGAGTTGACTCCGATTCTGAAAGACGCCGGCGCGCTTTGGCTTTGATATTATGCTTTTTCTGAGTACTAATTTTCACACAGGGCGTTGAGAGTTTTATTTCAGACTGTTAAAATTTTTTCTGTTCTTTTTCACCCCTCCTCTGTTATTAACCTTTATTGGGATATATAAATTACAGAGTAATTAATTACTATAAATCCATGAGTTCAACGGTTGCGATTGCGTGTTTGATTTCTTGATTCTAATGTAAACACGGATTCTAAGGATTAAGGAAAGTCTTAGGGTCGCAGGTTTTGTTGACTAAGATGATGTTTAACATGATTCTGGAAAAAGAAAAAAAAAAAATCCTATTTTTTCATTACCCAGAAGTTTATGATAAACTGTTAGATTGTATGAAATAATGGATCAAAATTACCCACAAGTTTATGAGGAACTGCTTTTACCTTGGGGACAGATGATATGTTACCTTTTTTTGTGCTGCCAAGAATCGACAACACTGCTGTCATTTTGTCTATGTGAGTAGCAGCTTTAAGCAGAGTTCAAAATCAGTCTACTTTAATAACAAGAATTCTCAGGTGGGGTAAACCAGATGGCTAAGAAAACAAAAGATTACGAGTTCGAATTCTAACTTTCATGATTTGAGTTGATCAGCTATGAATAACATAAATTGATTTAAACCTCTTTATTTGACCTGCCCCAAAATGTATGAATAAGTATCTAAAATATGATTCTGGTAATTGAAATTTGTAAATTTAATTATAGTCAACATTCTTTTAATAGAGCATGTTATTTAGTTCTTCATAGTACAATTTATTCTCATATGTAATTTATCTTGTGCACACATTTGAATATTACTTTATCTTATTTAGTTTGTTTAGTTTGGTTAACCAGGATTGATGGTAGTTATTTTTAATTTAATTTTTTATAATATTAAGATTAGTTTTTTAGTATATAAAATTTATATACTCAGGGAGCGTTTGTTTATTGCAGAAGCACCCAATAAAAAGTGAAATAGGGATTTATTAAAAGGTTGTTTATGCAACTCGTGTTTACGTCCTTTAGTGACTCTCGGGGCGAGAAACTAGAGGTTATGATTAGTGTGATATAAGCTGAGAAAATGTTGTATTGTGCAAAAATAGGGAGCATTATGATGTGCAACCGTGTGCACCATGCATGATGCACACAGTTGCAAAAACGACGTCGTTTTGACGTCCAACTTAAAAAAATAAATTCAGTTTCGATTGTCGTTAACGACGTTATGTTGTGCATAATTTTAACTATACATTCATAACTTCATAACTATGCATTCAGAAAATTGCATAACTACACATCCATAACTTCATAACTATACATTCAGAATTTGAAATTATAACTTCATAACTATACATTCAGAATTGCATGCATAACTACACATCCATAACTTCATAAATCATAACTATACATTCAGAATGTAAAATTACAAAATTATGAAAATATATTTACGTAAATAATAGCAATCGAAAATAATTTTTTTTATAAGTAAAACGACGCTGTTTTTTGCAACCGTGTGCACTATGCATGGTCCAGACGGTTGCATAGCATAATTCACCCAAAAATAGTGGGATTTTTATATTTTCTTGGATCAACAGTTCAGATATCCCAAGTTCCCCAGATTCTTTCTTGTTGGGTTCACGTGACGAATGACCTTAACGGGCCGTTCGAAAAGGGCCCAAAAGTTATTATTGGGTTATAACTAGATTTACAGCCCACATCAACGAATTTGGGTTACTTCCAGGCATTAGAGTTTGGACAGGAGAATTATGTTTTCACTAGACCTCTGTTATACAATCATTATTGCATGGAACTAAGGGTACATTATTTTTATACATAAGATACATTTTTTGAAAGTACATTTTTAATATACTAAGAGTACAGGAGAATTATGTTTTCACTAGACCTCTGTTATATAATCATTATTGCATGGAACTAAGGGTACATTATTTTTATACATAAGATATATTTTTTGAAAGTACATTTTTAATATACTAAGAGTACATTATTTTATATAACTAGTATTTGTCCCGTGCGATGCACGAAAAATATGTTATAAAAATATACCCTATATGAGGTTTATTTATATATAAAATTTTTGTTATTTAATAATTATTATGTGTGAATTCCTATGATAAAATTATGAACATAAATATATTTACAATTAAAATAATATTTAAGGTGGGTGATTACTACAAATCTTAAACTATATTAAAAATTTAGTACAAAGTATTTAATATTACAAATTTTTAAGAACTTAGTAAACTACAATAGTAATTGAATTACAATTTTAGAGTCACCACGGATCACAATTTTTAGACCTTTGAGATTTCTAACTCTAGATATAGCAACATACAATTGACCTTTAAAGACCAAAATCACAATCTTAGTTCAAACATTGATTTTTTCTTCCAAATACTATCGAATTAAGTGTGTAATCAATAAATGATGAGAACTAAAAATTCGAGAATATAATCTTAATGTTACTAAGCCTACTTCACGTCAATTAAGTTGGAGAGTGTTGTTGGATAGTATCCGATGAATCCACAAATAACGCATCTTTGTCTCCGTAGTCCTCAATATGCACATCAACAATCTTAAATATTAGGCCGCCTATCTATGCCATAATTTCAAACTTATGAACTTTGAGGTTGCATGCAATAAAAAGTATATTTTAAATATACTAAGGGTACATTATATATGTATGTAAGGTACTTTCAATATAAAAATAATGTATTTTTAATATATTAACAATGTATTTGATATTCATGATCCATACAATTATGTGGACACTCGTTCACACAATAATTTACCAGTAGAAATTGAAATATAAATAAATAAATAAATAAATAAATAAATATATATATATATATATATATATATATATATATATATATATATATATATATATATATAAATTATTGCAATATTATTATCATTATTATCATTATTATTATTGCAATTATTATTATTATTATTGTTATTGTTATTATAATTAACAACAATATTATTATGGTCTTGTGAAAATTAAATGTTGATTATCACCATTTAATTTTCACAAGACCATATAGCTTTATTATATATAGGATGTATTTTCAATACAAAAATAATATACTTTTAATATACGGAGTATTAAAAATATACTTGATATTTATGGTACACACAATTGTGTGGACCATGGTCCATACAATAATTTGCCTCTGTCATAGGTGTAAATGTTTTAATTATCTAAAAAAATGCGCATCGAGCAAATCACACAAACTATACATAAGAGCAAATAAATTGCATTACGAATATTTTATGCGATAAATTTAACAAAAAAGATGTTAGTAAAAATTAAAGTTGTGGCTTTCAGGTATCTGAATTGAGTTAATATTCAATTTAGTCATTAATTATATTGATTTTTTTTTTTTAATTTAGTCATAAAAGTCTTTTCGTGCTTAATTGAATCATAACTTCGATCGTTTTACCTAATTGAGTCGTCTGTTATGATAGCTTGGTAATTTATCCTCTATTAATACCCAATTTAGTTATAGACTATAGGAGTTTTACCTAATTTAGTTCTCGACTATAATAATTCGTTTATATTTAGTCTTTGATTCTAACAACCAATGACTTAGGTAAAATTATCGAAATCCAAGACCCAATTAAGCACCAAAAAAAAACTTTTAATTATGATTAAATTGAAAAAAGTCATTGTAGTCAATTACTATACCGAATGTTAACTCAATGAGAATCATACTTCATCCACTTAATCATTCATTTTGGGATGAAATGCACTGTTATGTTTTTATGTCATATGCTCATGAATCATGCGTGTGATATTAATAGATGGAGATTTTTTTTTTTTTAAAGAAAAATAAATTAGATAGAAGAAATGTAAATATAAGATTTGCCGATGCAGCACTACATTCCTTTGAGGCTTTCGCCGTTATTTTATTTTATTATTATTATTTTTTAATGAAAACAACATGACTCATTGTGGACATTATTAAAGGTGAAATTGTCTTTGTGATGAATATTTTGGTGTTTATCTTATACTTTTAGAAGTTGGATATGTACACCTTTGCCACAAAGTATCCACTCTCTTGAGGTAGAAATATCGATACTTTTTAATGAATATATTATGCAGTTAACATTAAAACATAAAAAAACGCCAACAACTGACTAGTGTATCGGTGGTGTACAAATATTCAAGAACTTATCATTCAGTTGAGGCACATTTCACATTATATTTTATCATTTCTCGAGACACATTTCACATTGTATTTTCTCATTTCTCGAATAATTAAAGAGCAATGAAGTTTAGGTTTATACTTATAGAGAACAATGTAGTGCACTGATTAAGACAGCAATTAATGATATTTAATATATTAAAATTCATCATCGATATACTTGAATAAGTATGTAAACTATTACAACGTACAATATAATGTTTAAGGAGAAATAATACATATACATTTTTGTGTTTAGGGACTAAGTCCAAGTACAATTATTTTTCAAGAATGTTGCACGCTATATATAGAGTAACGGTATTGTTGAAGTTATTATCTATCATCACCTCATATCACGCAGCATGAAAGATGGCTCTAGCTAAAGTCAAAGTGCCAAAGTGGAGGTAATTTAATAGCTAGCGGTGATCTTACAAGATAAAGTGACTTAAGCACTCGTGTCTTATCAATTTATTATCACTTAGATTTCTCAATTTCGACCAACATACCACATACAACTAGATCACAAGGTGATTGTGACTCAATATTCCATTAGTTATGCTATGATTACAATTAACCTCTATGAGATAATGTTGGGTCAATGAGAGAACAAATTGAAGTTCAAATATTTCAGCTCCATATGCTTTTATGTTATGATTTTGTATCTTCTCTTTTTCTTTCCGTAGAGTGGCAAACCAAGTGGAAAGTGGAAAGTGGACCATACCTTTCAACTCCATTTAAAAAAAAAAAAAAAAACAGCTCATTTATTATTGATTGATTTATTTATTTATTTATTATATATTATAGTTTTAGCTATTCCTACCTTTAAAATTCTAAAAGCAATTTTAAAATAAAAATAAAAATTAACTACAACTTATGTACCACTCTTCCATTTATGATGTACGTCAGTACGTGACATTATATTAAATCATAATGACACTAAAATTAGTTATTTTACCTTGAAATTAGATTAAGTTGTTTACTATTTGACTCTTATTCTGATCTCCAATTAAGGAGGAAATGTGG